AACTACCTAACCTAAACTACCCGAAGCTCCCAAACAAACCCCAATCTCTATTCCTACAACCCTAGAGGCCCAAAAGCGTCAGACCCCTGAGCCACCCGCCGATTCTTCGCGCCACGACGTTCCGAGGCTCCTGCCCGGCCGGCGCGTAGCCAAGTGTGGCGCCATAGCAACGACGGACGTTGGCAGAGACAAGGCTGGGCTTAGGGTTTAAGGCTCAGGGCTTCGGTGTTAAGGGCTCAGGGCTTGGGGTTGAAGGCTTATATAGGAGGGTTGTTTTGGGGCTGCAGCAGTGGCAGTTTTTTTCAACGAGGGCCCTGCATCTCGTGACATTTTTGTGTGCAGGGCGTGTAGGCTTCAGCCGTGGCAGGTGGCTCCCGGCATGGAGGTCTCCTACGTCGTGCGGTTCAAGCCCGACGCAAGGCCTCGGCGGGGCGCTTGAAAAAACCCTATTCCCCGCAAAACACCCAAAAACTCTTAAACAGCCAAAAAAAGCTAAAAACCCTAAAGCTCTAACACATCCCTAAAGACCCACAAAACCCTAAGGAGGAGTTCTCGGTCTCAGAAGCCCTATGAGCACTCCCCTGGCAGGCTAGACTACAGCTACGACCTCAAAGTCGTCGGGGCCTTGGTTCCTTGCCATCGGCTTGTCCTCTCTGTATAAGAAGGAGTATACTCCGTGATAGAATTTAAAGAGTCCACAGTTGTGCGGTACAGTTGAAGTAGATCTCAGATGGAAAGCACTCTAAAATGGAGACCTGGAGACCCCAAAGGGGCGATAATTGAGACTAAACCCCGCACCTGTCCTTGAAGTCGGAGCGCTGGGTCAAGCTGCCGAGGTCACAGAAAGGGAAGAGTTCAGGCGCCGCACCTGAGAGTTGAAGCACAGAGCGGATTCCCACAACCCTCAACCCTGGACCCTAACTTCCTCGGCAAGCCCAGAGCTTGAAAATCCGGGCCTCCTTCGGACCCCCTTGAGCCCGAGTCCACTCTGCGAAAGCCGGCAAGCCCTTTCTGGGTTCTTGTGAAGCAACTCAAATTATCACCTCACCACAGTGAGGAAACCACAGTATTGACATCCATACCCTGCTAGCTGAATTGCACATCCTTAACAGCAGCCCTGTTGAGTCCCACGCCAACCCCGGTCTCCTATCTAAACACTAAACCCTAAACCGTAAATCCTAAATCCGAAACCTTAAACCCGAAACCCTAAACCCTATAAACCCCCTAAACCCTAAACCCCTCAATGCCCTGCAGTGTGCCTGTCCGGGCCTCCGGCGGCTCCGCCCTCCTGGACTTCCCGGACGCCAGGGGCGCCCAGTTCGAGGGAGAGGGTGTTTAGGATTTAGGGTTTAGGGCCGTTTAGGGTTTAGGGTTTAGGATGTAGGGTTTAGGGTTTAGGGGTTTAGGGGGTTGAGGGTTTAGGGTTTAGGGTCAGGGCTTGGGGTTTTGAATCCCTTTCGCTTGGTCGAGGGTTTCGGGCTTCATGGTGTGTGTGACTTGGGGTGGGGGTTAAGGCCTCTAAGAATCTTTGCTTTGGGATGTTATGGTTTCAATTTCTTGCCCTTCTCGGCGGATGAGCAAATGTGGGATTCGGGCTTTAGATTGGGATAACAGATGCGAGAATGGCTAGACATCTTTGTGTACCCTTGTTCATAGCTTTTTACAGATTGCTGCTAGTGCTGGAGGGACGCATGCAGATGGAGTCCTGACATTCGAGACGACGCCGAGGTGGTAGACTTTGGCGACGAGTGCATGGTTGGCCACAAGGCCAAGCTGGCAAGCTCGAGGGCTCATTTAATTCAAGATTGATGGTGCCTCATGCGGGATGGAGGGCTTGGAGGAGGAGTTGTATGGAGATGCCGCACTGTCCTGGAACTAAATGCAGCTCAACATGCCAGCAGTCCACAATCATGGCTGTCCAGAACCCCTATGCACGTCATCATGACAACGCTTGTGCTCTGGCCGTTCCCCAATCGGGGCACCCGGTCCTTGGAGCATGACCCAACCCCCAGCTGCGTAGAGTATGGAGTTTTCGACGTCATGGAATATGCAGCAAGCCTTATCATACCCCCCCCCTAATGTCTAAGCTCCGGTCCTCGCCCCCTGGTGCAGTGCGAGCGCACTGTGCTCGTGCGCAACGTGGGCGACCGAGCCTCCAAGCTACTCTGCAAGACCACCGCGCCCTTCAGGTGCGCTCGGGAGGGCTGGCGGGGGCAGGATGCCATTTAAGGGTTTGAGGTATGTATTTCACTCCATCCAATCAGGAGGGATGTGATTCCATTTTGTTGCTGTTTTGGGTGGCACTTAGAGGATAGTCCAGTCGAAGCCAGCGACGAGCATGTTGGGCCTGCTGCAGCGTGGGGATCAAACATGCGCTGCATCGGCCACTTCTTCAGGCGGCCTTGGCCGCTTCACCTTGACCTTCTGCAGGTGCGAGGGACCTCGAGTGGCTGGCAGGTCAGCTCGCATGGCCGTGTTCGAAGTTGTGTTGGCCGGGTCAGTTTCGGGACCATGCACGCCTCCGGATACCGCAGGGTACGAATTTCAGGACAACCTATTTATGTCCACCGGCTGGTGGCTGCTGCATTCCTTGGCCCCCTCCCACATCCAAACTGCTGGCAGGTGAACCACTTGGACCTCAACCCCAGCAACAACTGCGTAGCAAATCTTCAGTATGCAACTCCTGCGGAGAATCAGGTACATGCTTGGGCCACCAACCCGAGCCGACAGGCAAGTGCTGGCAAGGCTGTCTTGTGGCGGTCCTGCGGTGAAGAGTCCTGGACGTTTTGCTCATCGCACAAGCAGGCTTCAAAGCTGCTGGGTGTTCGGCACGAGGCAATCTCAAAATGCTGCCATGGCTTGCAAAGGAAGTCCCAGGGCAATGGTACTTGGTACGAGTTCAGGCCACCCCCTGCAGACCAGTCGCTGCTACTTGGGGAGGTGTGGCAGTCTGCGCGGTATCCAGGAGATCATGGAAGGATTGAGAACCTTTCGGTCAGCAACCATGGCCGGGTTGCACAAGACAGGCGCCACTTCACAGGGGCCAGCTACGGCACTCGCCTGAGTACTGGGTACCATGTTGTCATCAGAGCCGGCAGGACCTTGATGGTTCACCGGCTGGTTGCTGCGACCTTCCTCGGTGATCCGGCGTCACCCGATCACGAGGTCAACCACAAGGATGCCGATCCAGGGAACAACCATGTGCAAAATCTAGAGTATGTCACGCGGTCTGAGAACATGAAACACTCGTGGCAGCTAAGGCCGAAAGCCTTGCGCAAGTCGCCCAATTGCAAGGCCGTGCAGGCTCGTTTGATCGCGGAGGACTCTCCTGAAGCGCCTTGGCTGGACTTCGACTCGATCGTTGCAGCGTCGGCGCACACCGGCGTCCACAGTGCCACAGTCTCCCGCATCTGCAGGGGACTCCAGGGCAGTGCGTCCTGGGAGTTCCGATTCTCTGTGGAGGAGCAGCTTCCGGGCGAAGAGTGGCGCCCTGTGGTGCTGGAAGGCGCACGCCGACCTGCACACCGACGTGCACGCTGAGCCTTGAGATTCGTTTTTTGTCTGCAGCCTTCTTCTGAGAGGCTGATTGACCAGGTGGGCTTTGCACTGGCTATTGTGTGGCAGGTCAGGTTGCTTCGAGATGGAGCGCCAGGCGTGGACATTCCTGCAGGCTCTAGACCGCGCCGTGGCGCCTGCATGTTGTGTCTGCAAGGCAAGAAAATATGCAGACAAGGTACTGTGGACGGGTGAGCTCGGGAGATCAAAATTGTCATGGAGTTGCTGAAGTGTGTGGACAGGAAAGGCAAGGCGACGTGGCCGAAACAGAGTCCACTTTGGCACTGCTCAAAATTCTGGGGGCTTCCCGAAATTAGGGATCCTTTTAAGGGAGGCCCCACTATACTTGGGGCTTTACAAGGGACCCTAGCGGCACGAGCCCTTTGAGAACCTTGCCACCCAGAGCCGCCTCACGGGTCAACTCCCAGCTTCCACAAAGATTTCCGGAGCCTCCCTCTGGGTTTCTGGAAAGCTTCAGGGATTCAGGGGTTGCAGGGTTGAGATGAAGATGCAGATTTCGGATCCCTCCGCGGCATCTAGCGTGCGAGCCGCCCACACCGTGCGGCCACGGAGAGCTTTCTGCGGCTTCTGACATGATGCATTTTGTTTCGGGAAAAAGAATCACTGCAGCAAAGTGCCAGCTGCCTGGCCGCTTTGCCTGGACTTCGTGGCAGTGGCGATGGACCTGTGACTGGAAGGTGAGCTCTTGCGGACGCGTTCAGAACTCCTTTGGTAGGATCAGTTATGGCACATTGCTTGACTCAGGCTATCGCAGCGTGCATATCGAGAAGCGAAACTACCTCGTGCACCGGCTGGTGGCTGCAGCGTTTCTGGGCCCTGCGCCAGATCCGAGCTGCTGGCAGGTGAACCACGTGGACTGTGATCCCGCAAACAACCAGGTGAGAAATCTGCAGTATGTAACCCATGGGCAAAATCAGAAGCATTCTTGGGCAGCAAACCCCAGCCGACGTTCAAAGATTTCAAATGCTGCCATGTTGAGCAAAGCCGTTTTGTGGCGGCCCTGTGGAGAAGAGTCTTGGACATTCTGCGCTTCGCAAAGTGAAGCTGCAAGGCTGCTGGGTGTTCCGCAAGGAGCGGTATCAAGCTGCTGCCGCGGCTTGCAGCTGAAGTCGCGTGGTGGTGGTGTCTGGTACGAGTTCAAGCCGGCTGCAGCAGATTCCTCCGCAGATCACTCGCTGTTGCTCGGAGAGGTCTGGCAGCCCGCACGGTACCCAGGACGTCGTGGAAGGATTGAAAACCTTGTAGTCAGCAACCATGGTCGGGTTGCGCAAGAGATGCAAGGGAGTTGCAATCCAGCAGACATGCATCGTGGCACGCGCATGAGGAGCGGCTACTACATTGTAACCAGGGCTGGCAGGAGTTTGTTTGTGCACCGGCTGGTGGCTGCGACCTTTCTTGGTCAGTCACCATCGGCAGATCACCAGGTCAATCACAAAGACTCGAATCGCGGAAACAACCACATTCAAATCTGGAGTATGTCACGCCGGCTGAGAACATGCGGCACGCGTATGCGCAGCGTGTGGGACAGGATCCGAAGCCAAGAACCCCCAAGCCGGTGCTGGCCCGTCTCCGGGGAGGCGACGGATCCTGGCTGGAGTTTGAGTCGATCAAGGCAGCGGCTGCCCACACAGGGATCAATCGGGCCAAGCTCTCCCGCATCTGCCACAGGCTTGACACCGCCATTTCTTGGGAGTTCCGGTTCGCGCCCGAGGTGCTGCTGCCGGGCGAAGAGTGGCGCCCGGTGGTGCTGCAGGGCGTGAAGCGACCTTCGAGTTGAGCGCCACTGAAACCTCAGGGCTGGTCAATGTCACCACCATCGGACCCCCCTCGACTTTGATTCCGTGCCCTTCTTCCGATGTTTTGTGCAGCGTTGTGCAGGTTGAGGTCCGCATCCAGAATTGCAACTGTGCACGACAGTCCACGCGCGAGCAGTACTAACCATCCAAATCAAGCCGTGCTAGTAACTCGACATGCCGACCTCAACGTCCCTTAAGGAGCCCTAAACCTAAGCCTAACCTGTAAACTCTAGGCCCTCATCCCTAAAACCTAAGCCCCAAACCCTAAGCCTTCCTTCGCTTTCTCTTTTCCTCTCTTTGTCTCTCCCCTCGCCAGCATCGAAGTGCCGGACGGGTTCCTGGAGGAGGGCGCCGCCTGCCAGGTGCGTGGAGATCAATTCTTGTTAATGATCTCTTGTTTTATGAGTAGGGTTGCAGGCTTTAGGGGTGTACGGTACTCGTAGAAAGGGACCCATATTGGAGGCCATTTCAATCATTCTCTTACAGCTTCCCCTCCCCCTAAGGCCTGCTCCCACCCTAACCCCCGAACCCTAAACCCTAAGCGCTAAGCCCTAAACCCCCACACACAAAGGAAGCGCTGGCGACCTGCCAGGTGTCGATCTTTTTCACGCCGCCGCGGGCGGAAAGCTACGAATGCGATCTGCATATCAAGCCGTGGCCCTGGGGCTCAAGCCTTTCAGGGTTTCGGGTGGTTTCGGCTTCTGGCTTCTAGGACACCTGGCTTTGGGTTTTGGGTACCAAATCCTGAACCCCTAAACCCCACTAGACCTGCGCCTGGTAGGACCGCTGCTTCGGGCTGCCTGGGCTTGGCTTTTTGGTTGTCTGGGTTTAGCTTCCCGGGGTGACTGATTTTGTTTTTGGGATGCTTGTGTGGATGCTCTGCGTTTGTGCTTCGGTGTTCGGAGTGGATGTGAGCCCAAGCCTACGCAGCCCCCGATCTCTTGCAGCCAGCAACGTGGGTGGCTCAGGTACGGAGAGATGGAGGCAGTTGCCACTCTCCGTGGTCAAGCCTGCAATGCAGAGGCTGGGCTTTCGTAGTGGGTAGCTTGAGGCGTGCTTGTGTGTGCAAAGATCACTGGCATCGTGCCGGCACGACAAGTGAAGACTCATGCTCATGACTGCACTGCCTTAAACGGATGATTCCCAAGGAGCCTTCTGCAAACTGCGCGCGAGGGCCCCCAAACCACAAAGTTGAGAGGCTATATAGCCTGCTCTAAAAGTGCGCAACTAGGCATTTTCATAAACTCTTGCTCGATAAAGCAATACAGGAGTTAATGCAGTAGAACAATAAGATGAGTAGCATCGCATGGTCAGTCCTGCAGTTTCTTGTCCCTCTTGAATCCCCTTCATCACAAGGAGCCGCATTCTGACACTGATCCCAATGGTCGGTCGGTAGGGCACTTCAGGGATACCTCTTGGGATGCGGGGGCTTCATGCATCTTCACGTGGAAGCTGCAGGTTTCACTGTCTCACAGTCTGCTGCTCATTGAGGACAGGGCGCGCTTGCCGCACCTTCGCCCCTTGCAACGTGCGTTCGTGGGACCCTGGAGCTCCTCTCAGCCCGAAACTAGACCGACCCTAAATCCTAAGCCCTAAACCCTAAAGTGCTGGTTGGTACTAACCGGGACCAGCGAGTTCTTTCCCCTGAGTCCTTGATGATACCAAGCCCTATATTAAGTTTCCCTAAGCCCTAAAGTCTAACCCTATTCAATTGAAGTCGGCCACAAAATCAAACAGGACACCTACGTTGGATTGGAGTCCCAGGGCGTGGTCACCATTAGAAACGACTCGGACGTGCCGATTGATTTCAGGCCCGCCGGAAAACCCTAAACCCTAAACTCTAAACCATAAAGCCGTACGCCTCAAAGCCTGAAGCCCTAAAGCCCTAGAGCCTAAACCTGTAGTCTGGCATTTCTGAGCGGAAGCGCCGCAGCACATGCCTTAGGTCCTTGACATGGTTCTTAGAGCATAGATTAACCAGGACCACCAAGGCCACCTAAACCCTGAACCCTGAACCCTAACCCCTAAACCCTTCAGCCCCAAGACCCCGAATAATCTGCCCCAGTTGGCGCCTGTTCGCCTCCACGATGGAGGAGGCCCAGCATAGGCCGGCTCGTGGGCATGGGTTGGGGTGCCAGGGCTTCGGCTGAGGGGCCTTGCCATGTACAAACTTTGTCATGAGACTTCTGGGCGTCGGGGAGCTGAACATGCATTGCGCATCTTGTCTAGGAAGGCTGGTGGTGCCCTTATGGCTCATCCGCCCCTAACATCCTGAACCCTTATCAGAAACTCTGGATGGTCATGGTGGCTCGCAGGATCTTTCCTTCTGAGAATTTCGGGGTTCCGCGTTCAGGCTCAGGGTTGAGGGCTTTGGGTCCCGGAACTTCCCTTCTTGTGTCGGTTGCGCAGGTCGGGGTTCCTGACATCCCCTTATGGATGCCTGTTTAGAAGAGGTTCCTGAGCGAAAAGGCTCCAATATCGGAAGAGCTCCCAGATGTCTGCGAGGTTGGCCCTACACCAACAGCTGAAAGTAGAGGAGATGGACGAGGCCGCCCGTCCAAACTCTGAACCTTGATTTCGGGAAGCTGCCCAGGTCTGGCCATTGTCGTTTAGGGTTCAAGGGTTTAAAGGGTTCAAGGGTTGAAGGGTTGAGGGTTTAGGGCTTTAGGGGTTTAGGGTTTACGGGCTTCTGATGTGCCAGCTTGTGGCCCTGTCCTGCACGCTCGGAGCTCTACACCCTAGCCGGAGCCTCAAAAGCCATTCAAGCCAGCGCCCCAAGCCGGAAACTCAACCCCGAAGTTTGTCCGAAACTTCGTGACGAAGAACTAAAGCCCTACACCCAGTGCCTCTTGGCCAGTTGCTCTTCATGCAGCAAGCGAACCTCTCAGAGGACACCTGCCGAGATGAAGTGAGTGCTCAATTGCAACCGTTGGTTGGTTTCGTCCCTTGAGCCTCAGCGCCCCGAAAATGTTGGAGCTGCGGGAGCTGTGATAGCTTGAGTTGGAGAACTTCCGGGTCGGAGTGTGGGGAGTGGAGATGACTCAACCCTGAACCCCCCATTGGAGTCCCCCCCCCCCCCCACGCATTCGTCCAAGCCAGGATGAGGAGAGTGACAGCGGCTCGGATGGCGAGCGGCGGCGCTTGCGGACGGAGCGGAAGGCAGGCGCTCTACACCCTAAACCTAACCGTAAACCCTAACCCTAAACCCTAAACCCTAAGCCCTAAGCCCTAAACCCTAAACCCTAAACCACAAACCCCACACCCTACACCTGATCAAACCTCGGAGAGGAGTTGAGCCGTGTGGGCTCTTCTGGGTACTCTAAATTGTAAGGAGCACGCTAGAATAGAGACTCCAAAGTGGGGCTGGATCAACCCATCTGCTTTCTTGAAAAATAGGACGACCTGCGTGGACATCCCCAAACCTTTGCTTCCAACTGCTCCAAGCAAGGGATACCCTGAACCCCTAAACCCCTGAACCCCTGAACCCTGGAGTCTCTCAGAACTCTGTCGCCCCATCCGCCGCAGGTTACGAAGCTACTAGGCCGGAAGTATGCCACCCGGCGGCAGGTGAGAAACGGCTCAGAAGAAATTGTTTCGGCTTTTGGGTAGGGGTTGGGCCTTGTTTCGGGGTAGGGGGCACATTGTACTCAGGGTAGGGGTCCTACTTTTTTAGTGTGGTTCCTCAGGATGTCGGTCTGCATGGGTTGAGTTTTAGAACTTGCCTTCTGATTCAAAACGCCTGAGGATTCGATCATGAAGGCGGTGGAGGAGGACATATGGGAGGGGAAGCACGAAAAGCCCCTAAAACCGTGAACGTAAACCTTCCACCCTCAAGAAGGCCCCAAGCCAAAAACCCTAAACTCTGTAAACCCCAAGCCCCAAACCCTAAACCCCAAACCCTAAACCCCAAACCCCAAACCCTAAAGCCTGAACTCTAATCTTATGCCCTAGACCCTGTAGATAAAGCTTCTACATGGAACGCAAGACAGCTCGAGGACCCCATGCTCTTCCGCGATGCCATCTTCAAGATCGAGCCCTTGAACGGGCGGCTCTGGTCCGCCTCCCCCCCCTGGGGGGCTGTGGGGGTTTTGGGTTTTGGGGGTTTAGGGTTCAAGAGTTTTCGGTTTAGGATCTGGGGGTTCTGGTGTTGGTGTTTAAGGTGTGGGGTTAGGGTTTGAAAAGGGAAGGTTCGCGTGATTGGGTTTTCAGTAGGGCCTGGCTAGGATGTTGTTGGGGGTGTTTCGAACCCCGCATGCACACGGTCACGGTTAGGGCTTGCAGTAGGGTTGAGGGAGGGTGAAAAACGGGTTTAGGGTTTGGCACCCTAAACCCTAAACCCTAAACCCTAAACCCTAAACCCTAAACCCTAAACCCTAAACCCTAAACCCTAAACCCTAAACCCTAAACCCTAAACCCCAAACCCTAAATTGTATTGAGAGCTGCAACCATCCTAGCCTTCCTCGTCAGCAGGGGCGGAGCACTGTTTGGCCCGCTATGGTTTGTCTAGATTACAGGCTTTCTTGGTGCCCAGAGCTGTAAGAAATGTGCCTACCAGAGATTCTGGACAAAATGTAGATCAAACTTCCACCGAAGTTGCTGCAGCGCTAGAGATGAGAACCCCCACCCCCAAACCCCGAGAAACCCAAGGCCCCCAACCCTAAACCCTAAACCCTAAACCCTAAACCCTAAACCCTAAACCCTAAACCCTAAACCCTAAACCCTAAACCCTAAACCCTAAACCCTAAACCCTAAACCCTAAACCCTAAACCCTAAACCCCAAACTCTGAAACCCCAAGTCGCCTTTCCCAACTGCGCAGGCCCCACACGCAAGTGACCTGTGCCTGCTGCTTCTGCCCCAAGGCGCGTGAACCGCCCCTGAGAAGAACACTTTGTCCGCCCAGAGCAAGATAGCGTAGGAGTTCAGAGCCCCAACGAAACGGCCTAGCATTCAGGGGCTTTGGAGAATTGGGGCTTGCCCCAGAGAAGTGTTGGGTTTAAGGGCACGCAGCCCTGAGGCAAAGGCTTGCAGGGGACCAACACACCGATGCAAGGTAGAGTTCCTTCGACTTCCTCTAAACCCAAAGACGGGATAGATCGAGAATGCCATCTGAGAAAGCAACTGTCCGGATACTACGGAGGCTTTTGCTTCGGATACGCAAACAAGGGATCATGATTCGAGGACTGCCCTGAAGTGTGGCGCAAACCCTGCTCGGGTCAGGATGCGCTCGTGTATTGCGCCACGGCGTATCTCTCGGCAGTCGGACAGGAGGACGCTGGTTGGTGTGCTTTGGAGGTCGGAGCTTCAGGATCCAGGGCCTGACGTGTGGCGAATCCCAAATCGAAAAGCTGGTATGGCCGATCCCGGCGAAAGGTCCCTGCTGGCAAACTCTGCAACCTCTCTTCGAATTTCCGTGTCCTCCACGAAAAAGCCCTTGTTCAACTGGGGTGGCAAATTCAAACGCTGCCTCCACGGGTCCCAAATCGCGAACGCATGAAATTCGCTTCTGACCTCTGTGAAGTGAAGGATCGCGCGCCTTTGGTCTTGCCACTGGGCTGAGACTACTTCTGATTGCGTTCAACACTAGATAGCTATGGGGGTCCCTCGAATATATACCAAATTCTTTAATTCCTAACTTCGGAAACCCCCAGATGGTTAGCGTCGCAGGGTTTAGGGTTTAGGGAGTAGAGCTGAAAGGGTTTGGGGTTTAGCGGAGCCGACCCGCGGAGCCCTCAAGGCCCCCCTGTATGGGACCACACAAAACCCTAAATCCTCTTAAGCCCCCTGAAGCCCCTGAAGCCCCTGAAGCCCCTGAAGCCCCTGAAGCCCCTGAAGCCCCTGAAGCCCCTAAAGCCCCTAAAGCCCCTAAAGCCCCAAAGCCCCTAAAGCCCCTAAAGCCCCAAAAGTGCCCTTAACGCCCAGGAAGGGGCTCGGCATCGGCCCCAAGGCCACGTTCTCCTACGACGAGCTGGATGCCGGGGAGCCTTTTGAGGGGTTTAAGGGTTTTAGGGTTTAGGCTTTAGGGCTTTAGGGGTTTAGGGTGTTAACGTTTAGCTAGGGTTTAGGGAGTCAGGGTTCGTAGTAGTTGTAACAAACATACGGAAAGAATTGAGTACCAGTTCTCAGTGTTTAGAGTATTTATCACAGCAGCAAATGTAGGAATAGATGTGTTGTTCATCATAAAGCAGTGCAATTTAAAACTATTTCTATGCGTGATCACGACTTAAAGCTCGCGTGTTTTGCCAGTGGTTATGTTGGGCAAACAGTGTGGCTCTTGGACCCATCTTGGTTTCTATCACTTTGTGTCTCTGATGCCGTTTCTGATTTCTTAGTCAAAATGTTACACCTGCTTCCCTGATGTTGGTGCTCAAGGGTTTAGACATCACGGCTGACGGTGCCTGTGAGTGGTGGCCTTCGAACATTGAGCGAAGACTTATTCGGGTTTAGGGTGCAGGGGTCGTTCTATTTTTTGAGGTTCTAGGACTCAGGAGTCTTTGAATTTGCAAGGGGGGTTCTAGAAGACTTTATAGGATTCTACAGGGTCCCTGTGTCGAACTGGTTCTAAAGGTCCCTTCAAGGGATGGGCCCCTGGGATCAGCGTGTCTTGAAAGGGGAATCCTTACAAAGGGAGCCTACCTTAAGGCAACCTTTGGGGACACGCCACCAGAGATTCTAGAAGGCAGCTTTTTTTAGGGCATGGCCTTCAGGTCGGCAATGTCTTCGTCGAGAGCGCACATCGATACGAGGCTGGTCTCGGAGAAGGGGCGGCTGCGGCGCAGAGTGCATGCAACCAAAGCCGTTTCTGCAACCTTTTTAAGCCACATGCACTCGGATCCTTTGAAACGCCAGGACCCGCACATCGCATGGGAATACGCGTGAAGTCACACATATATAGATACATATATATATAATAAAATAAATATACAATATATATATATATATAGATATATATATATATATATATGTATACATACATGCGCTGTGAGCCCCCATGTTCTTCGTGCAAAGGTGCAGCTGCTCAACCAGGGAGACATCGAAGTCGACTTCCGACTAGTCCATCGAGAGGGCAAGTTCGCCCCGAGGCACATCACCTTGCGGTTTAGGGTTTAGGGTTTAGGGTTTAGGGTTTAGGGTTTAGGGTTTAGGGTTTTGGAGAGTATTCGGGTTGGATATAGTCACATGATGCTCATGGGGGGTGTGTAGTGTGGGCGGTTTTGGGGTTGCAATAGCCCTAGACAAACCCCAACGCCCAGGGTTTTCGGTTTGGGGTTCAGGGTCTAGGGCTTGGCGCTCAGGGGGTTCAGGGTTTTAGGGCTCCGCCGCCAGGTTCAAATTTACCCCCGACCATGGCACGATCGCGGCGGGGGTGCCTGGAAAAGGGTTTAGGGTATAGGGTTTAGGGTGGGTTTAGGGTTTAAGGTTTGGGTTTAGGGTGTAGGGTTTAGGGTTTAGGGTTTAGGGTTAACTACGAGTCAGGGACGGTCCTTGACGGTGAGCCGCGCAAAGCGCTCTCGATGTGAATCATGGGCTCCACTTTTGGTAGCCTAAAAATCTGCAAGGAACATACTATAGTGGAGGCCCCAAAAGAGTCCACGGGCATGTGTCATGCCTGGCAACGTGAGGACTTGATCCATCCACCCAAAAAGTGCCAGGCACGAACCCTCAACCCTCAACCCTAAACCCTCAACCCTAAACCCTAGACCCCCGAGGTTGGCGGCCAGTGCGAGATTGTCGTGGATTTCAAGCCAAAGGAGCCGGGACATCGGAAGTTTAGGGTTTAGGGTTTAGGGGCGTTTTTCAGGCAGCTTTGAGCTTTGTGGGGTTTGTTTCCGGTTTGCGGGGGTGTAGTTCTGGGGTTTGATAGCATGAGGGGTTTGTAGGGCTTGAGTTTAGGAACTTTGGGGTTTGGGCTTTAGGAGCTCGAGGGGGTTTAAGGGCTTAGGGTTGTTTGTGCTTCGGGTTTCGGGCTGCTTTGGGGGGTTTGGGGGGTTGAAGGGGTTGTTCGGTGGCTGGAGGTTTCAGCCCTGCAGGCATGTTTTGCTGCATGGTCTTTTTTGAAGGGGGGGTTTAGGGTTTAGGGTTTAGGGTTTAGGGTTTAGGGTTTAGGGTTTAGGGTTTAGGGTTGGGGTGTGAGGTTGAGGCGTGTGGGTGTTGGGAGGATAACAGATGCATCCCACACGATCCGACGACGCTTCGCCTATCAAACTCCGTCTTTTGTACTTGCTGGTTCTTCGCAGCAATAATTAGGGAATTAGGCAACTTAGATCCCCTTCAACGGATTCGACAGATTACTTGCTAAGAGCCGGCTTCCAAGTCGCATGCTTTGGCAGGAGCTTGGCCAGTTTCACGAGGAGGGGCGTTCGGCCGTGGATTGAGCTGTTCGGGGTAACCTTAAACCCTAAACCCTGAATCCTAAACCCTAAACCCTAAACCCTAAACCCTAAGCCCTAAGCCCTAAGCCCTAAGCCCTAAGCCCTAAGCCCTGAGCCCTAAGCCCTAAGCCCTAAGCCCTAAGCCCTACAAGCTCAACTTAGGGCTTCCAAGCAGGCTCAGTTTTTGGACCCCCTCTCTGTGCTTGGGAAACCCCTCAACCCCTTGCGCTGCTGAGCACCACCCGTTGTGGCCACAAGTAGGATCAGGAGGTACCCCAAATCACGCCTGGATTTGGAAACTGCAGTTGCTGCATGTCTAGTCCCCGTAGACTAGCCATGAACCTTCAAATTGGGGTCTTCGCGCCGCCAGGTTTTCGAGTGGGCTTTGCAAGGCAGAACAACCGTCCCAGCCTCAACTTTCTGGGGAAGCGGAAGTAGCTCGGAAGAGTCTTCGGGTGACGCTTGCTAAGGCTCTGGGGTTGCAAGGCAAGGTGCAACGTGCCCCGCAAAGGTCCCCCCCCCCCCCCATTTTCAACTCCTCAGGCTGTGCTATGCTGCGTTCTAGAGGATCTTGACTGACCAGAGTCCCTAGTCCGTTGAGTCGTGGAAAAGTAAGAATCGCGAAGACCAAGTGCCAGGAACAGGGCCCCCTTACCGACAAAGTTCGTTCCGAACCCCCGAACCATTTACCACGTCGGGGGGTCCGCGTCTTACGCGCTCTTCTGCCTCAGCAGCAGTTGAGGGCTCTTGAACTCCAAGCCACCCAAGCCCTAAACCCTAAACCCTAAACCCTAAACCCTAAACCCTAAACCCTAAACCCTAAACCCTAAACCCTAAACCTTAAACCCTAAACCCTAAACCCTAAACCCTAAACCCTAAACCCTAAACCCTAAACCCCAAACCCTAAACCCTAAACCCTAAACCCTAAACCCTAAACCCAAGAAACTCAAAACCCAAAACCCACAACCCCCAAAAAGCCCCGAGCCCTGCCCCCCTCAGCCGAGGCCGTCACCTTGGCCTTTCGGGGCACGTCGGTGCGACCAAAGTGCCCTCCCACGCGATGGTAACCCCTAAACACCCCTAAACACCCCTAAACACCCCTAAACACCCCTAAACACCCCTAAACACCCCTAAACCCGCAACACCCCTAAACATTCCCAAAACACCCCTAAACACCCCTATGCACCCCTAAACACCCCTAAGCCCTAAAACCATGAACCCTAAAACCCTTTTACCCGTTTCCTGCTGTTTCAGGAGGGTTTGGGGTTCGGCTTAGGGTTTGGGGGTTTGGGAGTTCTTTAGGTGGGTTTCGGGTCTGGGGGGTAAGGAGCAGGAGTTTTTTGGGAGTCTCGGATTTGAGCGGAGGGAGGGAGTTTGTAGGGCTCAGGAGTTCAGGGTTTAGGGATGCCGGGCTGGGCTACCTCTGCCTGCGGCAGCTGATGCTCGTGAAGCCCGCTTTGGGTTGCCTAGCCGAAAAGGCCTGTGGCAGCTGATGCTCATGATGCTTCGTTTGGGCTGCCTGGCCCCAAAGGCCTGCGGCTGATGCTCGTGACGCCCGCTTTGGGTTGCCTAGCCGAAAAGGCCTGTGGCAGCTGATGCTCATGATGCTTGGTTTGGGCTGCCTGGCCCCAAAGGCCTGCGGCTGATGCTCGTGACGCCCGCTTTGGGTTGCCTAGCCGAAAAGGCCTGTGGCAGCTGATGCTCATGATGCTTGGTTTGGGCTGCCTGGCCCCAAAGGCCTGCGGCAGCTGATGCTCGTGACGCCCGCTTTGGGTTGCCTAGCCCGAAAGGCCTGTGGCAGCTGATGCTCATGATGCTTGGTTTGGGCTGCCTGGCCCCAAAGGCCTGCGGCAGCTGATGCTCGTGACGCCCGCTTTGGGTTGCCTAGCCGAAAAGGCCTGTGACAGCTGATGCTCATGATGCTTGGTTTGGGCTGCCTGGCCCCAAAGGCCTGCGGCAGCTGATGCTCGTGACGCCCGCTTTGGGTTGCCTAGCCCGAAAGGCCTGTGGCAGCTGATGCTCATGATGCTTGGTTTGGGCTGCCTGGCCCCAAAGGCCTGCGGCAGCTGATGCTCGTGACGCCCGCTTTGGGTTGCCTAGCCGAAAAGGCCTGTGGCAGCTGATGCTCATGATGCTTGGTTTGGGCTGCCTGGCCCCAAAGGCCTGCGGCAGCTGATGCTCGTGACGCCCGCTTTGGGTTGCCTAGCCCGAAAGGCCTGTGGCAGCTGATGCTCATGATGCTTGGTTTGGGCTGCCTGGCCCCAAAGGCCTGCGGCAGCTGATGCTCGTGACGCCCGCTTTGGGTTGCCTAGCCCGAAAGGCCTGTGGCAGCTGATGCTCATGATGCTTGGTTTGGGCTGCCTGGCCCCAAAGGCCTGCGGCAGCTGATGCTCGTGACGCCCGCTTTGGGTTGCCTAGCCGATAAGGCCTGTGGCAGCTGATGCTCATGATGCTTGGTTTGGGCTGCCTGGCCCGAAAGGCCTGCGGCAGCTGATGCTCGTGACGCCCGCTTTGGGTTGCCTAGCCGAAAAGGCCTGTGACAGCTGATGCTCATGATGCTTGGTTTGGGCTGCCTGGCCCCAAAGGCCTGCGGCAGCTGATGCTCGTGACGCCCGCTTTGGGTTGCCTAGCCCGAAAGGCCTGTGGCAGCTGATGCTCATGATGCTTGGTTTGGGCTGCCTGGCCCCAAAGGCCTGCGGCAGCTGATGCTCGTGATGCTTGCTTTGGGTTGCCTAGCCCAAAAGGCCTGTGGCAGCTGATGCTCATGATGCTTGGTTTGGGCTGCCTGGCCCCAAAGGCCTGCGGCAGCTGATGCTCGTGATGGGTTGCCTAGCCCAAAAGGCCTGTGGCAGCTGATGCTCATGCTCGTGATGCCCGCTTTGGGTTGCCTATCCCAAAAGGCCTGTGGCAGCTGATGCTCATGATGCTTGGTTTGGGCTGCCTGGCCCCAAAGGCCCGCGACAGCTGATGCCCCTGATGCCCGCTTTGGGTTGCCCAGCCCAAAAGGCCTGTGGCAGCTGATGCTCATGATGCTTCGTTTGGGCTGCCTGGCCTCAAAGGCCTGCGGCAGCTGATGCTCGTGATGCCCGCTTCGGGTTGCCTAGCCCAAAAGGCCTGTGGCAGCTGATGCTCATGATGCTTGGCTTGGCCTGCCTGGCCCCAAAGGCCTGTGGCAGCTGATGCTCGTGATGCCCGTGGCAGCTGATGCTCATGATGCTTGGCTTGGGCTGCCTAGCCCCAAAGCAGCTGACGCTCGTGATGCCTGCTTTGGGTTGCCTAGCCCAAAAGCCCAGAAGGCTTGTGGCAGCTGATGCTCGTGATGCCCGCTTTGGGTTGCCTAGCCCAAAAGGCCTGTGACAGCTGATGCTCATGATGCTTGGTTTGGGCTGCCTAGCCCCAGAGGCCTGTGGCACTGATGCTCGTGATGCCCCCGTTGGGTTGCCTAGCCCAAAAGGCCTGGGACAGCTGATGCTCATGATGCTTGGTTTGGGCTGCCTGGCCCCAAAGGCCTGCGGCAGCTGATGCTCGTGATGCCAGGTTTGGGTTGCCTAGCCCAAAAGACCTGTGGCAGCTGATGCTCATGATGCTTGGTTTGGGCTGCCTGGCCTCAAAGGCCTGCGGCAGCTGATGCTCGTGATGCCCGCTTTGGGTTGCCTAGCCCAAAAGACCTGTGGCAGCTGATGCTCATGATGCTTGGTTTGGGCTACCTAGCCCGAAAAGGCCTGTGGCAGCTGATGCTCATGATGCCCGCTTTGGGTTGCCTAGCCCAAAAGGCCTGTGGCAGCTGATGCTCATGATGCTTGCTGCCTAGCCCCCAAAGGCCTGTGGCAGCTGATGCTCATGATGCTTGGTTTGGGTTGCCTGGCCCCAAAGGCCTGCGGCCCTAGCCCAAAAGGCCTGTGGCAGCTGATGCTCATGATGCTTGGTTTGGGCTGCCTGGCCCCAAAGGCCTGCGGCAGCTGATGCTCGCTCATGATGCTTGGTTTGGGCTGCCTGGCCCCAAAGGCCTGCGGCAGCTGATGCTCGCTCATGATGCTTGGTTTGGGCTGCCTGGCCCCAAAGGCCTGCGGCAGCTGATGCTCGCTCATGATGCTTGGTTTGGGCTGCCTGGCCCCAAAGGCCTGCGGCAGCTGATGCTCGTGATGCCCGCTTTGGGTTGCCTAGCCCAAAACACCTGTGACAGCTGATGCTCATGATGCTTGGTTTGGGCTGCCTGGCCCCCAAAGGCCTGCGGCAGCTGATGCTCGTGATGCCAGGTTTGGGTTGCCTAGCCCAAAAGACCTGTGGCAGCTGATGCTCATGATGCTTGGTTGTGGCTGCCTGGCCCCAAGGGCCTGCGGCAGCTGATGCTCGTGATGCCCGCTTTGGGTTGCCTAGCCCAAAAGGCCTGTGGCAGCTGATGCTCATGATGCCCGCTTTGGGTTGCCCAGCCCAAAAGGCCTGTGGCGGCTGATGCTCATGATGCTTCGTTTGGGCTGCCTAGCCCCAAAGGCCTGTGGAAGCTGATGCTCGTGATGCCAGGTTTGGGTTGCCTAGCCCAAAAGGTCTGTGGCAGCTGATGCTCATGATGCTTGGCTTGGCCTGCCTGGCCCCAAAGGCCTGTGGCAGCTGATGCTCGTGATGCCCGTGGCAGCTGATGCTCATGATGCTTGGCTTGGGCTGCCTAGCCCCAAAGCAGCTGATGCTCGTGATGCCTGCTTTGGGTTGCCTAGCCCAAAAGCCCAGAAGGCCTGTGGCAGCTGATGCTCGTGATGCCCGCTTTGGGTTGCCTAGCCCAAAAGGCTTGTGACAGCTGATGCTCATGATGCTTGGTTTGGGCTGCCTAGCCCCAAAGGCCTGTGGCACTGATGCTCGTGATGCCCCCGTTGGGTTGCCTAGCCCAAAAGGCCTGGGACAGCTGATGCTCATGATGCTTGGTTTGGGCTGCCTGGCCCCAAAGGCCTGCGGCAGCTGATGCTCGTGATGCCAGGTTTGGGTTGCCTAGCCCAAAAGACCTGTGGCAGCTGATGCTCATGATGCTTGGTTTGGGCTGCCTGGCCACAAAGGCCTGCGGCAGCTGATGCTCGTGATGCCCGCTTTGGGTTGCCTAGCCCAAAAGGCCTGTGGCAGGTGATGCTCATGATGCTTGGTTTGGGCTACCTAGCCCGAAAAGGCCTGTGGCAGCTGATGCTCATGATGCCCGCTTTGGGTTGCCTAGCCCAAAAGGCCTGTGGCAGCTGATGCTCATGATGCTTGCTGCCTAGCCCCCAAAGGCCTGTGGCAGCTGATGCTCATGATGCTTGGTTTGGGTTGCCTGGCCCCAAAGGCCTGCCCTAGCCCAAAAGGCCTGTGGCAGCTGATGCTCATGATGCTTGGTTTGGGCTGCCTGGCCCCAAAGGCCTGCGGCAGCTGATGCTCGCTCATGATGCTTGGTTTGGGCTGCCTGGCCCCAAAGGCCTGCGGCAGCTGATGCTCGCTCATGATGCTTGGTTTGGGCTGCCTGGCCCCAAAGGCCTGCGGCAGCTGATGCTCGCTCATGATGCTTGGTTTGGGCTGCCTGGCCCCAAAGGCCTGCGGCAGCTGATGCTCGTGATGCCCGCTTTGGGTTGCCTAGCCCAAAACACCTGTGACAGCTGATGCTCATGATGCTTGGTTTGGGCTGCCTGGCCCCCAAAGGCCTGCGGCAGCTGATGCTCGTGATGCCAGGTTTGGGTTGCCTAGCCCAAAAGACCTGTGGCAGCTGATGCTCATGATGCTTGGTTGTGGCTGCCTGGCCCCAAGGGCCTGCGGCAGCTGATGCTCGTGATGCCCGCTTTGGGTTGCCTAGCCCAAAAGGCCTGTGGCAGCTGCTGCTCATGATGCCCGCTTTGGGTTGCCCAGCCCAAAAGGCCTGTGGCGGCTGATGCTCATGATGCTTCGTTTGGGCTGCCTAGCCCCAAAGGCCTGTGGAAGCTGATGCTCGTGATGCCAGGTTTGGGTTGCCTAGCCCAAAAGGCCTGTGGCAGCTGATGCTCATGATGCTTGGCTTGGCCTGCCTGGCCCCAAAGGCCTGTTTGGGCTGCCTAGCCCCAACGGCCTGTGGCAGCTGATGCTCGTGATGCCCGCTTTGGGTTGCCTAGCCCAAAAGGCCTGTGGCAGGTGATGCTCAGGGTGCTTGGTTTGGGCTGCCTAGCCCCAGAAGGTCTGTCGCAGCTGATGCTCGTGATGCCGCTTTGGGTTGCCTAGCCCAAAAGGCCTGTGGCAGCTGATGCTCATGATGCTTGGGTTCGGGCTGCCTAGCCCCAAAAGGTCTGTCGCAGCTGATGCTCGTGATGCCGCTTTGGGTTGCCTAGCCCAAAAGGCCTGTGGCAGCTGATGCTCATGATGCTTGGGTTTGGGCTGCCTGGCCCCAAGCAAAGGCCTGCGGCAGCTGATGCTCGTGATGCCCGCTTTGGGTTGCCTAGCCCAAAAGGCCTTTGGCAGCTGATGCTCATGATGCTTGGTTTGGGCTGCCTAGCCCCAAATGCCTGCGGCAGCTGATGCTCGTGATGCCCGCTTTGGGTTGCCTAGCCCAAAAGGCCTGTTGCAGCTGATGCTCATGATGCTTGGTTTGGGCTGCCTAACCCCAAGGCCTGTGGCAGCTGATGCTCGTGATGCCCTTTGGGTTGCTTAGCCCGAAGGGCCTGTGGCAGCTGACGCTCATGATGCTTGCCCCAAAGGCCCGTGGCAGCTGATGATCGTGATGCCCGCTTTGGGTTGCCTAGCCCAAAAGGCCTGTGGCAGCTGATGCTCATGATGCTTGGTTTGGGCTGCCTGGCCCCAACGGCCTGTGGCAGCTGATGCTCGTATGCCCGCTTTGGGTTGCCTAGCCCAAAAGGCCTGTGGCAGCTGATGCTCATGATGCTTGGTTTGGGCTGCCTAGCCCCAAAAGGTCTGTGGCAGCTGATGCTCGTGATGCGCGCTTTGGGTTGCCTAGCCCAAAAGGCCTGTGGCAGATGATGCTCATGATGCCTGGTATGGGCTGCCTAGCTAGCCCCAAAGGCCTGCGGCAGCTGATGCTCGTGATGCCCCACTTTGGGTTGCCTAGCCCAAAGGGCTTGTGGCAGCTGATGCTCGTGATGCCCGCTTTGGGTTGCCTAGCCCAAAAGGCCTGTGGCAGTTGATTCTTGGTTTGGGCCCCAAAGGCCCATGGCAGCTGATCGTGCTAGCCCCAAAGGCCTGCGGCAGCTGATGCTCGTGATGCCCCACTTTGGGTTGCCTAGCCCAAAGGGCTTGTGGCAGCTGATGCTCGTGTTGCCCGCTCTGGGCTGCCTAGCTTGAAAAGGCCTGTGGCAGCTGATGCTCGTGATGCTTGGTTTTGGCTGCCTGGCCCCACAGGCCTATGGCAGATGATAGGTAGCTTAAACCAAGCATCACAAGCATCAGCTGCCACAGGCCTTTGGAGCTAGGCAGCCCAAACCAAGCATCACAAGCATCAGCTGAAACAGGCCTCTTGGGCCAGGCCGGCCAAATGGGGGCAGCCTTTGGTCTAAACCAAGCATCAAGCGTGGAGTAGGCAGCCCCAAGCGGGCATCACGAGCATCAGTTGCCACGGGGCTAGGCAGCCCAAAGCGACACAGCAGCGGCGAGCATCAGGAGCATCAGCTGCGACTGTTTGCAGGAGGCGGGCATCATGAGCATCAGCTGCGGGCCCTCTGACATCAGGCCCGCCCGCAGCCTACCCCACGGCCTGTGGCAGATGATGCCGATTTGATGCCCGGTTTGGGCTGCCTCCTAGGCCTAAAGGCCTGTTGCAGCTGATGCTCAGGATGCTGGGTTTGGGCCGCCTGACCCCGAACGCCTTTGGCAGCTGATGCCCATGATGCTCGGTTTGGGTTGCTGAACATCTATGATGCGGTTGGGCTGCCTAGCCTTACAGGGCCTGTTGTAACAGGATTGTGTGAAGTCTTCTTACGGCGCCTAAACCCCAAACCATCCCAAACCCCAAGCCCCAAGCCCCAAGCCCCAAGCCCCAAGCCCCAACACCCCAAAACCCCAAAACCCCAAAACCTCTAAACCCCTAAACCCCTAAACCCCAAAACCCCTTGAGCTCTCTGCAGGTTCGAATTCGATGTTGACAAGATTAACTTCGGCACCGTGAGCTTCGGGTTCCTGAACTCGAGGATGCTGACGCTCACGAACACCTCGGAGGCGGGAGCCCTTTCTCCTGAAGGTTTTTTGTTTATTTATTATTTATTTTTTATTTCTTAAAAGGGCCTTTTGGGGGTGTTTTAAGGGTTTCTATAAGGGTTTCTAGGGTTCTTTAAGGTTGCGGGGGTTTGAGGGTGTTAGGGTTCATACGGACTTAGGGTTTAGGGTTGAGGGTTACGTCGATTTCGGGCTCTGCGGCCTGGAAATGGGTTTCGGGGGTGAGCCTTGGGGGGCTTGTGCCAAGAGAACCCTCCGAACGGCAACGGAATTTGCGGAGCCGAGCGCGTGTTGCTTTGTTGCTCCCAGCCTTCCCGAAGTCCCCAAACCCGCAAGTCCTGGGCCGACATTCAGGCTAGGCGGGTTTAGGGCTTAGGGCTTAGGGCTTAGGGCTTAGGGTCTAGGGTTTAGGGTTCAGGGTTTAGGCTTTCTTGTTTCTTGCGTGCGGCTGTACTTAGTGGCCCTTGGGAGCGTAGAAGCAGCCTGAAGAAGGGGTGTAAGTGGCTAGAACCAGAATCACCCTACCGATAGCCTACAATAACAGTCCTAAACAGGGATTTACTTACAGTCCTTAATAGGGATTATAGTGGGGGGAGGGGGGGGGGTACTGTAATCCCTGTTAAGGACTGTTGGTTTAAGAAGGAACATCCCCAAGCCTTCCACAGCCGCCGGTGATCTCCAGGAGCACTCCCTGAAATCCCCAGACCCCAACTCCCAAAGCCGTGGAACCCGACGATTCCATTGACCCGAAGCCCTCAACCCCAAAACAAACCCTGACAACGAGACCCTGCATCCCTGGAGCCGCCAACCCTTTGAATTCCAACCCTAAACCCTAAACCCTAAACCCTACACCCTAAACCCTAAACCCTAAACCCTAAACCCGAAACCCGAAACCCCAAACCCCAAACCCTGAACCCTTGTGGGCTTTAGGCTTTAGGGCTTTCTGGGTTCTTCCCCTCGTCTCTGCGCTGCCGATGTCCTCAGGTGCCCTGCTACTACACGTTGATGGTGAAGGGAGATGAGGCCTCTGGGGTTTAGGGTGTCGAGGTTTGGGGTTTAGGTTTCAGGGTTTGGGGGTTTGGGGTTCAGGGGTTTGTGGCTTAGGTTTTCGGGGTTTTGGGGGGATAGGGGGCCTTGAGCTTCGTGGAGGTGTTGAGGGGTTGCAGAGTCAGAGAGGGGGCGCGGGGAGGTGAAGCTTCGGGATACTCGCCCGAAGTTCAGCGTTTAGGCTTCAGGGTTTACCCTCAGCGCTATCCCTAAACCCTAAATGCTAAGCCCTAAACCCTAAACCCCAAGCCCTAAACCTGAAACCCTAAACCCAAAACCCTATCCCCGAAACCCGAAATGTCGGGTAGTTCATGGGGCCGCGGGGCCAGGGTGTAGGGGGTGGTTGTCTCAAGCCCAAAGCCATAGCATCCTCAGGCGTCTGTGTGCAGTGGGGTTTGGGGTTTCGGGTTTTCCTGTTTTCGGGTTTTCGGGTTTTCGGGCTTTCGGGTTTAGGAGTTTAGGGGTTTAGGGGTTTAGGTGTTTAGGGGTTGGGGGTTTCGGGGCTTACATCTAGGGCACCCGAAAGTGTAGGAAGGGAACCTCAACACCTCCCATCCTCAAGTCAAACTATAGATATGAGTCACAATCCTGTGGATCTACAAGAATGCGTATACCATGGTAGATGCACCTCAAGTTCCCCAAACCCTAAACACCCAAGGCCATTTTCAATTTCTGTAGATGGTGACTTACTACGTACGTTCCTCCACAGCAGCATCGTTCAGGGCTTTAACGGCCGAGGTTCGGGGAACTGAGGGGGGGGGGGGGCGAATTTAGGGTTGAGGGCTTCATCAGCTTTAGGGGCGACTGTCTAAATTCAACTGCTGCAATGAATCCCCTTAAAAGGACCGCCCTCATCCAAAGTGGGAGCAAACCTCCATGTTGTGTTTTTTAGGGCTTCCTATGCTTCTTGAGTCTACATTAAGCTTTAAATTTCGTAACCCTCCCCAAAGTTCTCCCCGAAAATTGAAGCTGCGGGCCAAGGCCCCACCCAGCAACGAGTTCGAGATCATCCCGTCTCGCGGCACCTTGCTGCCGAACTGTGCACAGCGAATTCAGGCCACGGCTTTGGGTTTAGGGTTTAGGGTTTCGGGTTTCGGGTTTCGGCTCTAGGGTTTAGGGTTTAGGGTTTGGGGTTTCGGCTTTCGGGTTTAGGGTTTAGGGTTTGGGGTTTAGGGTTTAGGGTTTGGGGTTTAGGGTTTGGGGTTTAGGGTTTAGGGCATATCCGGAGGCCCAGCTTGCAGAAGATATACATCAGCTTCCCCGTTATTTCGTTCCCGCGTCTGTTTTTTCTACCATGAATTGCCAACTAGGATCTCCAGCTTGGGCCACCCCCCCCCCCCCCCCCCCCCCCCCCCCCCCCCCCCTCCCCCCTTTCCGTAAGCCCCAAAAGCCCCGGCAAACCTAAGCCTTAAACCCGAAAGCCCTAAACCTTGAACGTTTTAGGGTTTCATGGTTTCGGAGTTTTAGGGTTCAGTGCCTTCGGGGTTTAGGCATAGACCTTGAACCCCGGCAGCAGGTAGATTTCATCAGCAGCACGGAAAAGAAGTACGACACCAGGCCGTGCGCACGTGGAACGCTGCAGGGGCAGCTGTAGCGATCGAGGGTCTAGGCTTGTGGGCGTAGTCGGTAGGGTCTATGGGTTAGGGTGTAAGGGTTGCCCTAAACCCTAAACCCTAAACCCCAAACCCTAAACCCTAAGCCCTAAGCCCCTAAACCCTAAACCCTAAACCCTAAACCCTAAACCCTAAACCCTAAACCCTAAACCCTAAACCCTAAACCCTAAACCCTAAACCCTAAAAAGGGGTTTGGGAGACTCAGTCTCGTGTCTTGACCGTTGGGAGTTCGGCTCAAGGGGGATGACATGGGTAAGAAATGTTTGGGTCTTCTGAAACTCTGGGCAGACGGTTTTAGGGTTTAGGGTTTCGGGTTTCGGGTTTGGGGTTTAGGGTTTAGGGTTAGTGAAGGCTGCGTCCATCATGCAATGCACTGGATAAGGATCAGGGGCCCTAAGCCCCAAACCCTAAACCCCCTAAACAAACCCTAAACCCTGAACTCTAAGCCGTCTAGGGTTCAAGGCAGTTAAGGGGTCTCAGGGTTGCGCATTCCCAGTGCGCCGCAGGATGATAGACACGGGACAGAAGAAAGTGGCAAAGGGGGAGATGGGACAAAGCCTTATTGCAACACCCCCAAATACCATGATACTTGTCATGTTGGAGAGTCCCTAAAGCCTGTTTGCGCACCCCCCCCCCCCCACACAATATGAGAAGATGGGATATTGATATGGATGATTGCGTGCTTTAGAGCCGGTTGCAAGAGCAGCCCTATCCCCTGGTGTAGGGCCTAGGGTTACACCCGCAAGCCTGGCCAGGCTCTCCGTCGATCTGGAGGGCGTTGGGAAGGACCGACCTCGACTTGAGCTGCTTGGGGTTTGGGGCTTGGGGCTTGGGGATTAGGGCTAGGGTTTAGGGTTTAGGGCTTAGGGTTTAGGGGTTAGGGTTTAGGGTTTAGGGTTTAGGGTGTGCGGGGGTTGGGGTTTGGGGTTTAGGGGTAGTTGCATGTAGGGGTCTTGCGGTACCCTAGATCTTGTTGTAGCCAGTTATGGCGAGAGCTTCTCTATTTTTTCGAAGTGAGTCTTCATGTCCAATGGATTCTGTTTCTAAGGTGCCCTCGCCCTACACCCTGTTTGTCTGGCCCTAAGCCCTCAAACCCTGAACCCCGAGCCCTACGCAAGCCCAGTCGCGCGACAAAACGCAGGAACTCCTTTCCATTCCCATCTTCGCCCAGTGCGCCGTGCCAACAGCATGGGACCCGGTTTGGGAGGGGGGGGGGGTGGGCGGCGTGAAGACGGCAGGTGCCGGCTTCCATTGAAGTTGGACGGAGGGCCTATTTTTTTGGTACTTTTTTTTTTTTTTTGGTGGTCTCCTGGTCCCGTGGTCCCCTGGTCTGCTGGTCTCCTGGTCTCCTGGTCCCCTGGTCTCCTGGTCTGCTGGTCCCCTGGTCGGCTGGTTTCCCGGTCTGCTGGTCTCGTGGTCTGCTGGTCCTGTGCTTTTTCGGCCCGCGGTCTCTCGGTCCTCTGGCGCCCTTTCACGGGTCCTCCTGGGCCTCTGAGCCTCCTGACCCTATAGTACGTAAAGTAAATTTTGCAAAGATAAACACATGTATACAGTATAATATGATATTAACATATTAATAGTAATATATTAATATACATTAATACATATATACATACATATATATATATATATATATGTTAATACATGAATATATGAATATATGAATATATGAATATATGAATATATGAATATATGAATATATGAATATATGAATATATGAATATATGAATATATGAATATATGAATATATGAATATATGAATATATGAATATATGAATATATGAATATATGAATATATGAATATATTAAAAATTACATGAAACACATTAAATAATTAAATATATTATTATAGTAATATTTTATATATTCATATATATTTGCATATTTTAATATATTTATGTACATATATATATATATAGTCTTTTTGTTGTATTTCTCATAGACATTATATATATATATATACATATTTATATATTTCCATATATTTCTATATATCTATACATATATACATACATATACATATATATATTTATGTATATATATGTATATTTATATTTATATTTATATTTATTTATATATGATGTATATTATATAGTCTATCTAGTATATATATATATATATATACACATACATATATATATATAGATACCATACACACAACATATTGAAGCGCAACCAACACCAAAAAAAAGGACAAACAAAACGCTCAGAAGCGCAAAACAAAGCTAAAACCCAAAAAGTGCCAAGAGCGCCAAAAGGCTTCAAAAAGCGCAAAAAGCGCAAAAGGCGCAGAAAGCGCAGAAAGCGCAAAAAACGCAAAAAGCGCAAAAAGCGCAAAAAGCGCAAATGCCCTGAAAAGCATAGCGTGCAGAGCGCATTTTCAGACCATTGTCAAAGGAACAAAACTCTCGCAAATTTTTTCGCAGGAGTTTCTGATATTCTGTGTGCCCCATGCCAACCTTGCCCATGAATGCCCTAGCCACGCTGTGTTTTCCATTTGTTTTCCAGTACAAAATGCCGTTCTGCAGCTGATGTTTTTGCAGGCAAAGGCCCAGAGTCCGTACTGCAGCTTCAGACTTTTGGGTTCAGGCCGGGAAGCCAAGGCCCACAGTCCGTACTGCAGCTTAAGACTTTTGGGTTCAGGCCGTGAAGCAAAGGCCCAAAGTCCGTACTGCAGCTTAAGACTTTTGGGGTCAGGCCGGGAACCAAGGCCCAGAGTCCGTACTGCAGCTTAAGACTTTTGGGTTCAGGCCGGGAAGCAAAGGCCCAGAGTCCGTACTGCAGCTTAAGACTTTTGGGTTCAGGCCGGGAAGCAAAGGCCCAGAGTCCGTACTGCAGCTTAAGACTTTTGGGTTCAGGCCGGGAAGCAAAGGCCCAGAGTCCGTACTGCAGCTTAAGACTTTGGGGTTCAAGCCGGGAAGCAAAGGCCCAGAGTCCGTACTGCAGCTTAAGACTTTGGGGTTCAGGCCGGGAAGCAAAGGCCCAGAGTCCGTACTGCAGCTTAAGACTTTTGGGTTCAGGCCGCGAAAAATTGCCCAGAGCCGCGCGTTTTTTTTGCTGCAAGGAATAAACATACATTTTTGAAAACCCGCGAGAATCGTGTTTGCAATTTTTTTGAAGCCGCGTAAGCTTGTTTCAAAGCATATGCATACATTGTTGGAAACCCATCATGCGAGAATCGTGCTTGCAAATGGGGGGGCCCCCCAACCCCCCGCTTTTTCCCCCCCCACCCCCCCCCCCCCCCCCCCCCCCCCCACCCCACCCCCCCCCACCACCCCTCCCCCCCACCCCCGCCCCCCCACCCCCCCCCCCCTCCTCCCAACCACCCCCCCCCCCCCCCCAAAAAAAAAGGTACAAAAAAAAAAAAGTACAAAAATAATTCTCCGCCCAAAAACAAACAGAACGACATGAACAGCTACTGGAGAGAGACGAAATGCGAAGGCGGGACGCCTCACGTCCACATGACGCCCACAGGGCCAAGGGAATGATGTAGTTAAATGCTTACATCCGGCGAGCGATGCACGGAGAGATGATAAGCAAACATGCCATAGGCGCCTGCCTTTAATGCGGGGTGAGAAGCCACTACAGCATTGCCCCAGGCAAGACCCCAATGCGAGCCGTCACAGCATACGTGCCCGGCACTGCTCTGAGCTCTGTTGGTGCAGCTTAGCTTTTCCCTGACCCCCTTCCTGTTCACATTGCAAAGCCCGGGCAGACAAGAGAGAGAGAGAGGGAGCATCTGCACAGGAAGGAAGGAAGGAAGGGAGGGACGGAGGGAGGGAGGGAGGAAGGGAGGAAGGAAAGGAAGGAAGGAAGAGAGAGAGAGAGAGAGCGAGAGAGAGCGAAAGAGCGAGACCCGTTTATGTCATCCGTGGCTTACAGTTGAAGGGCAGAGAAGAAAAGGCAAACCAAAGCGAGCCAAGTCCAGTGATGACATAATTCTACTCACTCATCAGCCCTAATTGCTCGAAGTCCGCAACGTGTACTCTTCGCTTTTTTGTTTGCAAGCTGAGCGTGCACTTGCGCATGGTCGAGCTGTCGCCGCCTTACCTTGCGGCCAGTTCCTCAAAAGTCTTTGAAGTGCAGCTTCGTACCGAATCACTGGCGCACGTAAAGTCACAGCGGAAGCTGCCACCTACGATACCCACGCTGCCTCGGCCATGCAGGGCCAGCAAGAAGATTTCCAAGACTTATTTTGTGGGCATAATTCCGTCCCCTTCTCGACCCAAGAGCAAGAGTAGCTCATTGAAAGGAGCTGTGCGGGAGGCTTTGCAATCGACAGCAGATGAGCAGACAGATCTTGAAAAAAGGATTGCTTATCGGGAAGGCCGTGCAAATAGGTTCCTGTTTGATAGAGCCTTTCCGGCTCTGACAGATGAGGCCATCCTGCCTGGCTGGCAGAATTGCTGGCATGAGTCGAATGAGTTCACAGATGGGGAAAGTGGGAAAAGCGAAGGGCAAAGCTTAGCAAGACCTACATTGTCCTCGCTCCGGCGAAAGCGAACCGTGGACTTGGACCGGGACAGCCGCGAAAGGGACAGTGACAGCCCGAGGAGCCTGGCACCCTGGAGACCCGCGGACAATTCCCGCAAGATCGACCATCCGGGCAACGTGGCCTTGTCTCGAGTGCCTCCGGGCCCAGTCAAGCCATCCCAGAAGCAAGTGGGTCGACGAAAGACGGTCACAGCACAGGAATTAGAAACACAGGAGACCCGGGCTGCTGGCCGAAAGCGTGCTGAGAAGCTACTGCAGCGGCTTCGTACAAGCAATCGAAGGAATAGTGTGCAGCCCATTCCATTGGCGAATTTCCATGATAGGATCCGCAAGGCAGGGCAAGCTCGCCGAGCCAAGTCGCAGCATTCGCAGCATTCGCAGCATTCGCAGCATTCGCAGCTCGAGTTGGAAGGCTCTGAAGGCTCTCCGAGCTCTCCCAGAGTGAGCCCAAGGAGCTTCGGCACCAGCCTCGACCTGTCACCTACAAACAGCCAGGGCAGCCGCAAGATGCTGTGATTTCGAAAGAGCGAAAGAGTTCCGACATCTCACCAGAAGTATGGACCCAGAACATAGGACGACGTCATGTCCATGAAGGCAAGCGTGCCATGTCTTTGCGCAGGCAAGCGTGCTATCAAAAGTCTTTTCCCTCAGAGAGACGGGAAAGCTTCGGTGCACATTGACAAACAGTTTCACGGCAGTAGCTAGTTTGAAGGGTTTTGAGCTCGAAGCGAGTTGGTGTGGCAAAGCCATAGGGACAACAGCTCGGGAAAAGCGGCTTGCACAATTGTGGCTTGTTTTGCTTGCGCTTCATTAGGAACTTGATGGGCCCCGCACTGCTCAGTTGAACTTTGTGACTTTGTGTTGATCTGTTGATGCCGCCTGTCGCTTTGCCATTCTGGCTCTTGCTCACGTAGGGAAATGACATCCCATGAAAGCTAGTGGCACCTAGTGGCCATGTTTTTTTTGTCCCATCGCCTCAAACTACCGCAAATCAGGATCCTATTGAAGAAGTCAAGAAGCCAAGGAATATGAGAGGCCAAGGGGCCAAGCAAGGTTTTTGCTCAACCTGTGCATGCGACGACTCGCTACGACCATCAGTGTGCTGTGATTGAGGAGGCTTGAAGCTTAGTCGATGCACAGGCGTTTTTGGTTTGTGTCGTTTGAAATTGTTAGATGCGACCAGCCAGGTCATTGGCTGCCAGCATTGACAACATGCAATTGCCAGAAGCATACCATGTCCCGCAGATTCCGCAGATTCAGGCTCCAGATCTGCGGCTCAGGCTGTAGTGTTATGCAGGCATATCCTCGAGCAAGCGCACTTTCAGTGGGCAACCGAACGAGCTATCTCATCATCGTGTTGTTGGAATTGTAATTAGCCGGCAAGAGTATCACTCACTTACGGCCCCCTTATCCCGACCTGAAATAGGTACCACTCCGTGCCTCGGGGCATGTAGCGGCCAATCTGCAGCATGCAGCATCACATGGAATCATGATGCCGCCGCAATAGTACGACGAGGCTGGCCAGCTTGCTTGGTCTACCTCAGTCGTAGTGCTGTTAAGCTGTGTCCTCACATGTGAGCGTTAGAGTCACAAGTCACAAGTCCTATGATCTTCAGTCCGCTTGCGCACGAAGTGATGCCGGTTCCTGTGCCTGCAGGCTGTGATGGGCGCGGGCTTTGCGCAAGCCTTAACAAAGTGTCGGAGTTTGGAAAAAGCGACTGCGTGTTGCCACAAGGTGAAAGCTTTGCAGTCTGTCGTGCCCAGCATATCACCAGGTGGGACAGCAGACCCTAGCTTTGGGATGCATGCCTTCTGCCAGTGGCTGCGAGTGAGTCATGTAGTCAATGTAGTCATGGTCGCAGCTCTTCTTTTGGAAGGCAGCTCCTGGGCTCAACGTGACATTGGGCCTACGCTCCGGCGATTCTTTGGAGCTTATTACAACGGTCGCTCAGATGCCCTGATTTCATCTTATTTCAAGATTTTCAACATGCCCTACCTCAAGAGTGCTGGACCGTGCCGGAGGATGCCGGAGGTTGAAGCAGAATGCCTGAGGTGATGTTTGGGCAGTGTACAGGCTGCAAGCACTGGGCCAAATAGCACGAGCATCGCGGAAACAGGAAAGCTTCCGAAGCCACAAATTTCTCGATCCCCTGACAGGCGATACAAAAACATTGATGTGGACAACTCTGGATGGGTCAGCTATGAAGAACTTGCTGAGAAACGTGGTTGAGAGCGATTGTTCCTGTTCATGTCTGTGAGGCAATGGCAGGCTTTAAAGGGCATTTGGCAAGTTCCGGGTGCGTTGCTTTGGTCTGAAGATCAGCCGCCACATGCCATGTGTGGCAGGGCTGGACCGAGGTGCTTTTTTGCAAACACACTTTGGGGTTCCAATGCAAGTTAATGCGAGCAGATTGCTCGACCCGCGTTAGGGAGTAACATCTTGTCGTTTACGCTAGATTGCAGCTCTCGACACAATGGATATGCTTCTGTGGCTTTTGTGTGCTTCTGTCATCTGAGGATTCTTTTCCTGCCAGAGTTCAACTTGCTTTTCATTTTCGACGCGTTCAGCCAGCAGAACGCCGCCAGAATGAAATAATGGTAATACCTTACTGTGTTCCAAGCTGTTGTTCAAGTTCTAATGTTGCACCCGCAACATTCTAGGGGGACGCTATTATGAAAAGTTTTCCGGCTATTCAGGATCTGGACCCTCTGTTTTGGGGGTCCGCAATAATGAAAAGATTTCGGGCCGGGCCTGTTTTTTTAAATGGTTTTTGAGTCAAGTTCCCAGATCCCAAACTAAGAAGAGAGCTCATTTCTCGGCCCCCCCCCACCCCCCCCGACTGTTTGGGGTCTTTTTTTATTCAGGGTCGCGACTGTTGAGGGGGGGGGGGGGTAACTTATTAAAGCAGGTCCAACATTACTGCAGACATTCTGACCATGAAGCGAGTCCAGGCATTGATGGACAGTCGCGAGCTACTGGTAATGGTCTGCGCCTGGCCTTGAACTGGGCAGCTTCCGCAAAGTTGCATGAAAGTGGCTATGGGATGCGAGATGGACGCCCATGAAGCTGGGCCGGAGGTAAGTGCCGGGAAATCGTAGCAGAAGGCAGGGTGCTGGGAGTGCGATGGCCCCAGGCCTGTTCAGCTCGTCCAAGCTGTCCGAGAAATGTGGCGAGCCTTGCCTGCGCTTCTGTTCTTTGAGTGTTGTTGCTTACAACACGCTTTTGGTGGAGCTCGAACTTTGCCACACCTGAGGTGTTCATGACGCTCTTTGATAGCTCGCACAGTGGCACGTGCACTGCTGCAGAAGTAGCAGCCTTCGCACCTTGGTTTGAAACGTTACCAGACCCGGTGTGTAGATGCTCTCTTCATGTCTTGGCCTTTTTTCCTACTACATCAACCCAGATTCTGCATGGTAGCTTGCGACAGCTGGTGCGGAACGCTTCCACATGTGCTGGCGTAAGTTCTTGGGCACCTTCAAGCTCGATTATGCCCGATCAATCTGAGGCGACTCTGGCTTTGCAAGTTCTCGGACGCTGTACAGGCGCCTGTGTACGTGGAAAAGACATTGCAGCCGACACTTGGCAGAACAGGTGTTGGAATAGTCGTTTGGGACTTGCAATGATTTCAGGTTGGTTGCGGGGGCAGTGCATGTTGTCAGAATGTGTTTGGACACGTGTGTTGGAAAAGGTTCAAGCTACAAGCATGAGGTGATGCAAGAAGAACTGTCCGATGTCCTTCCGCAGTACCGTGAAGCTGAAAATCGTCTTGGAATGGAGGCGTGGAGTGCAACATCTGGCTGTTGTCGAGATCCGAGATGCGCTCGCAAATTGCCACAGGCAACCTTCAAAGAAGAGCGCATCTTCGGCCAGGACGAGATAGACGAGATTTGTTCAACGTTCAGGCCCGAAGAGCCTCGCGGACAGGAGATGGCAGCAGTACTGTCGCTTGCTGTCGCAGTGTGTGTGTGTGTGCGTGGATCCTTCAATACAACCACAAGTACCACTACGTTCTTCTGATCTATATACAACAAAGACCCAATCAGACAAGTCGTTTTGAGCCATGCACTCACTGGCCCGAACAAGCAGAACATAAGCTCAGCATACGCGGAGATACAGTGCTCAGACAACATTGATATTCCTCGCATCGCTGAATGATCTCCACCGAATGTGTCCGAGCAGCATTCGCAGCGTCGCTGTTCAGTGCAAGCCGCCTGCGGCATCAGGCTGTTCGCAAATTGTTCAAGATTCGAGTTTCGTCTTACACTGCCTTACGGCGCCCCACAAACTTGTCAGTAGGCTTGCCGCTCGCCACCGCTCCTGTTGGGGGCTCACGTCTCAAATGTCAGTCAATCACTGTCATCATCGGGCACCAGGCCGATTCAAAATACGAGATTGAAACTATGGCCAGGAAGATCCTCGAAAGCTGCATTTTTTCAATTGCCGCACAACAAAGCCAGACTACGAAGGATAGCTTTCCCTGAGCTTGTCTCTCCCCCTATCGCGGTTCTTGCCAGAGGTCTGAAGGAACCCGCCAAGCAGGGGTGAAGCCAAGCTGAGCCGTTCGGGGGTTTCCGATCGAACCTGCAAAAAACACGCACACCACTCTCGTAAAAAACAACGAAGAGAAAGAAAGATGCTCCGCATGGCTCTCTCTCTCCCTCTCTTCAACTTTTTGGGCGCTCTCTTGCACCCTTTTCTCACTCTTTCTGAGACTCTTCTCAGGTCTTCTCTCTCCTTTGTGTTAAAAAACAGGAGAGGCATCTGATTGGAGATCGTGCTTCGGAGTGCACAGCTCCGAGCTACCTTGAAAACTCCCTTGAAAGCTCCAAAGAGGGAGGATGTCTACTGCGACTCAGTCCCTAAATCTTTCTGCGGGTTTCCGCTGTGCTGCTGCTGTGCGTCGGTCTGTTGCTGTGGGGAGCACTACACCTGCCGCAAGTCGCAGCCATAATTCAAGCAGCTGGTGCAACTGCCTTCCAGAAAGAGCATTTGCTTGACTGCTTTTTTTCCAAGCAGTGAACGTTTCCCCAAATCCTCAAATAACCGGCTTCTGCCCACAGATCTGTGTTTTGTACGTTCTCTGGTCGTCTGTATGCATGGAAACCCCTACTGCCGAAATTCGATCGATTTGGGACTTGCGACCTTTCCCCACCTGGTGATCAGGTGATCAGGTTTAATGAGCTTCGGCAGCCCTTGGCTGACCGGTTGGCGGTTTCTCTGCACGATGTTGTATGTGAAACCATGCGAAAATCCAAGCCTTGAGCGTGGGACAAATCAGACAAATATTTTTAATTCGGACCTTCGCCTCATGTCGCCAACAAAACATCCAAGAAACGACTTGAGAGTGACGAGCGATGACAGTAGCGATGACGAGTGGAAGGCACGTGTATGAAGAGCTGCCCATTGGGCAGCAACCGCCCGCAAATTGTGTGGCACCTCCGGCTCCAGATTGGCAACGTACCGCCATGGCGATCCAGCTTGCAATCCAGCTGCTGTTGAGCTTATGAGCAAGATTTTCCAGCTTCCACCGCTCATTGCGCTCATCCCACTGAGGCTAGCGCAGCACAAGCAGAGAATTCCCCATCGAGGAAGCCTTTGAATCGAACGTTGACAGAAGTGGAGCTTACCCACATGGCCACTTCGATCAAGAGAAGCTGCAAGAGCCATGGAACTGCAACGTAATCTGGAACCCCGTGTGGTAGGCACGACAATTCATGAGTCGAAAGCCCCCGTCAAGATATCAGTTACTGTACGTTTGGCTGTGACCGAACAGTTTAGTTGAAGCCTAACCACTCTTAATCCTCCACCTTGTTGCAACCAAAGAACTCAGAAGGCGATGCTGGGAAGCAGTGGCAACGAGGACCTTATTGCATAAAAATGCCACGTGCCCGATCGTCGCAGAGTCGAAGTGCGTATTCCAGAATATTCCAGACAGCGGGGGGACTTAAGCGGGGACTTCCCTTCAGGAGGAGAGTCCGGAGCAAGCTGCCCAGATCTTGAAGGACCGTCGTCGTAATCGTACAGCCTTGGTTCTTCTTCTTTCTGTGCAGACCTGAACGGGCTGAGCTGCAGGGCTGAACTGCAGCCGAGGAGAAGTCGCGCGCCAGCCAAAAGGAGATGCGAGAGAAAGAGGCCGCCAAAGCAGCCATCAAACCTGCGCGAGGCTTGGCCACTCCTTTTCCCTTGCACGGAGCCGCCTAGAGCCTAGAAGGCGACTCGTTCAGGGTGAGATTGGGGAACTCCGGCTGGCAATCGGCGAGAGCCATCTCTCAATGGAAGGTCTCGTTCATCGGGTTAACCGATCGTTTCCATCTTAGCAGAAGCGCAGGATTTCCTGCGTCGGGCTTCTTCCTTGTATTTGCATATGCTAGTCGAAAATGCAAACGAGAGACATCGAGAGACTGGTCACTAGTTCGAAATTCAGCTGCACAGGGGCATTGAGGGGGGCACTGCTGCGCCTCAGCAATTCCCATCTCACGAGCTGTCATGGCTGTCATGGCTGTCATGGCTGTCATGGCTTCCAACGAGTTCTCAACTCCTTCAACTGAACTTCATCTGGGACTGCTGGCTTAGTGGAATGCTGAACTAACGCGAACTAAGCGCTGTTGACTGCCCGAATCCGCAACGTTGTGCTGACCATTTGTGGTGACTGTAGCCACGGAGGTGTAGGATAGGCAACGCAATAGTGCTGGCAGGATGGATGGTTGTGCACGGCGCAGACTTTGATTCTGAACCGCAAGAAGACGCAACCATCTTTCAGATTTGATGTCTCGTGACCCTAGATGCTGCTTGACTGAGGTGACTGTGTCAAAGGAGCTGGCAAGGTTCCGGCACCTGTTTGTGAAGTGTGTGGCGCAGGCCGGGGGGAGGGCTGCACAAGCACGCAGTGGGCGAAAGAGTTCATGAAGCTTGGACATGCGCCACAGGCGCTGGATGTCCCATCGGGAATTCTTACGGTGCAGTCCTCAATTCGCTGTGGTGGAGAGTGGCTGGCGCACGTTCTCGTGCTGTGTTGTGCTGACATGTGCGGGCGACGCCACCCAGGTGGTCGATGTGACGCCGGGCAGCGTAGTGGTTGAGTTCCTGGTGCATCCTTCTGCGAGGGCCGGTGATAGCCGCAATGCGGCTTGGTTGAAGTGCCTGAAGTTCTTTCAACTTGCCGAGGTGTTTTCATGCTGCAGCTTGTCCAAAGTCTGCCTATCCGAGGCAACACAGCTTCTGATTGCATTGGCGGTCGCGTGGCTGCAATTTTTGGATTCTCAGGAAGCTGTCGCTTTGTCAACCTGCTTGAGCCCTTTTTGCTTATCTCTCGTTCCCTCTTGTGCCGAACTTTTACTCTTTTTCCGAGCCCGGCGCACTCAGAAATGCCAAGTCAAGCATTCTTGCTACTCTGTGTGTTCGATCGTGTTCGGTTTTGATCGATGCGCTGGACCGAAAGGAGCAGCTCATCAGCAGCAACAGCACGCTGCGGCGCGGGCACTTTGGGGCTTATGCTGCCAGTGCTGCTTTTCTGATCGAGAAGCCTCAAGTCAAACACACAAGCGTGTGCGACGAGAGTGGGCAGTCGTGTGTGTGTGTGATCATGTTAGGCTGAGTTGCTCGTCGGCGAAACTCGCAGAACTGCTGCTCCTGGATGGCATATCCACCCAGCTGCACAGTCAACCGCTGGTGTCGCTTTTCCGCCTTGCTGCATTCGAGGTGCATGCACTTGCTATTGCGGATGGTGTCATATGTCCTGTGCTCAGTTGTGATAGATACTGTGCTGTTCATAAAAGTATAAGTGTTGTGATGACTTTGCGGCGGCGGCGGCGGCGTCTGCACGCGGTCTTGGCAAGGCTGCGATCAGTCAGTCCAGTGCTGCAGCCCCCAAGCAGTCCTTGACGAGGTCAGCCCTTCCGAGATCGCTTGTTATGCTTGTTGCGTGCATGTGTGATAAAGCTGATATGCCGGCTGGGCAATCCCTATGCTTCGGGTGTAGACGAGTTCCTGTGCAGGTACTGGCGCGCTTGGAGATTGAGCTAAGACGTGCAGAAACGGCAGAGGAGAAGTACAAGCAGGCAGTTGTCGAACTTCGACGTCGCGACGAATCGGATGCTTGTCTTTGCTGCAGCAGGGGCACTACTGGGCTTATTTGAGTGTGGCTAGGTGCTATTGCAGGTTTGTTGGGAAACTCACATCGCCCTCACAGTGCAGCTCACCAACCAGAAGTAACCAGAGCGGCATACGGTGACGGCATGTGACGGCCTGAAACGGACTGAGGTCAAGTCCCTCACCAAGCTGCTAGATCTCGCCAAGCAGCAGGAGGAGGCAGCTTGAACAGCAGGGTTTGCCGAATGGTCAGTTCTCCAAATTTGGGTCCTTTTTCAGTCTCTGTTCATACAGCCTCGGCAAGAAGCGGGGGGACCATGTGCTTTCAGAATGCAAGTGACTTACACCAAGCACGTTGCAGTGTAGATTCTCGTCTGCAAGAAAGCAAGACGGCGGCAAGTGGTACTGGCTATGCCGAACTTCTGCGGGTACCGTATTTATTTTTGTGAGTTTTTCTGTTCTTTTTGATTTTTTCCTGTTTTTTTGTCAAATCTAAGGCACGAAAGAAAGGAAGGAAGGCAGGAAGACAGGAAGAAAGAAAGAAAGAAAGAAAGAAAAGAAGGAAGCAAGAGGAAGAAAAACATATGGAAAGAAAGAAAGAAATAAAGGCAGGAGTAGAAAGAAAGATAGAAAGAAATACAGAAAGAAAGAAAAAGGCAGGAATAGAAGAAAGACAGAAAAAAATCAAGAAAGAAAGAAAGAAAGAAAGGCAGGACTGGAAAGAAAGACAGAAAGAAAGAAAGAAAGACAAAGAAAGAGAGAAAGCAAAAAGGAAAGGCAGGAATGGAGGAAGGAAGAAAGGAATAAAGAAACACACAAGAAAGAAATAGAGAAACAACGACAGCAAGAAAGCAAGAAAGAAATACATACAGGAAGGAAGAGAGGAATAAAGGAAGAAAGAAAGAAATACAGCAAGAAAGAAAGAATAAAACAAATAAAGAAAAGAAGGAAGGACGTGAGGAAGAAAGAAAGGAATAAAGAAAGAAAGAACGAGAGAAAGAAATAAAGAGAGCAAGAAAGCAAGAAAGACAGAAAAAGCGAACGAAATACAAGGCAAAAAAAGAAAGGAAGGAAGAAAGGAAGGATGGAAGGAGTTTATTTAGGGTTCCGCTCGCTTCGCACGTTCTTGGTTGACCCTAAAAACCCTACGCCTTAAACCATAAACCCTAGACCCCCAACACCCGTATGTGGAACCTGTGAGGATACAACAAACGCCCTTCGGCACAGCGGCCGGGCAGTAGTAAACCCGAAGGATTTAGATTTGTAATTAGGGTTTAGGGTTTGAGTGTTTGAGGTAAGGGACTATGGCTCTAGCCGGGGTCTGGTGTTGTTCTTGCCTAGGTCTGGCTCTGTTTTTTCCCTTTTCTTAGGTCTGGCTTGTCCTCTGGTCCTGTGGTCCTCTGGTCCTCTGGTTCTCTGATCCTGCGATCCTGGTCAAATGGTCCTGCGTTCCCCTGGTCAGGAGAGACCGGTCCTGCGGTCCAGCTGTCCCCCCCCAAACCCCCCCCCCGCTTGTAAGTCTTGCAAGCTTGCTTCGAGACCATATGAAGCCTCATCATGCGAGTGTTGCGTTTGCGAATGTGGGGGCGAGCATTGTGCTTGCAAATGGCGGGGGGGGGGGGGGCTGCCCCTCCGCATTCCCCCCGCTTTTTTTAAAGCAGTGCAAGCGTGCTTTGAGGTTGTACGAATCCCTTGCCTTGCCCCCCCCCCAAACCCCGCTTTTAAAAAACGTGCAAGCGTGCTGTTAGCTGTTAGATCTAACAAATCCCATTTGAAAATTATTGTGTTTGCAAATGGGGGGGGCAGCCCCCCCCAACCCCCCCCGCTTTTTTATAAGCCGCCCAAGCGTGCTTCTATGCCATACGAATCCCTTGCAAAACTCATCTTGCGAGATTGTGTCTGCAAATGGGGGGGGGGGGGAACCCCGGTGTGCAAGCGTGCTTTTAGTTCAACGAATCGCTCCCAAAACTCAGTTTGCGAACATCGCTTTGCAATTGGGGGGGGGCGGGTGGGGGCCCCAAACCCCCCCGGCTTTTTGAAGGCGCGCAAGCTTGCTTTAAGACGATAAGAATCCCGTCCAAACCCATCATGCGAGCACCATGTTTGCAAATTGGGGGGGGGGGGGGGGGGTTGCTACCCCAAGGGTGATTAGATGTGGTCAGGTTCCGGACATGCCGTACCGCTGAGGAGCCTGCGGAAGCTGAAAACCAGCAAAATTCACCAAAAAAACCAGCAAAACACACAGAAAAGAATTCCAACCAGAGGAGGAGGACAGGCAGAACCAGAGGGCATGTTCAGAAAACCATAAGAAAAGCAAGGGAAAAAAGCCCACACAAAAAAAACCAGAAAAATTGACAAACAAAAATCCTCGCTCCAACTTCTGCTACGACTACGAGGCAGCTTTCCATAATGGGGACAATCAATACCTTTGCCAGGAGTTTCCTGTTCTCTTTTTTGGGCCAACAGCATGGCTCAGAGTTGTGTCGAGCCAGCACATTTTTCATACTCCAAAGCTAGAGGTGTGTTGCTTAGCTATTGGATGCTGCCGTGTGCTGCTTGTGGCTAGTTGTGCACCTTTGTCCCGCCCAAGCATTCGATGCACATCTTGTCGTTGTTGGCGCATGCTGGCACACTGTCAGCTTTTACCCTCGGAAGTCGGGGCACTGTGAGGCCGTATGGGTCTTCTAGGTTTGCTTGTTTCCTGCTGGCACTCAAACTCGCAACTACGTGGCGCTCGACTTTGCGGGTTGCACAGCCCTCGCCAATACCATAGTACTTCAGTTGCGAATCCTCATCATCAACAAGTACAGTACCTTGGTCCTCGTCGCCCGAGAGCGTGCGCGCGCGTGTGCAAGCGCGTGCACGCGCTATCTCGGGGGAACGGTTTATGGCCTGTCTTTCTTGAGACCTGCATTGCACACCTTGTGCACATACCTCCTGTCCAGTCTCCTCATCTGCCAGCAGCCGCAAGAAGCCACTGTGCCTAGGAGAAGAAGGAAGAGGAGCGAGACGCTGAAATGCACGAGTGTCTAAGCAGCGTTCAGACAAGGACAATGTGTCTGTGCGGCCTGCGCGTGTCTGAACTTGTGCTCCTACTCGCATTGTGCCCCGCATGTGCCCACAAGCTGAGGTTTGGCCAGCAGCTTCGTCACCTGGAGGAAGAAGTCCTTGCATTCAGTGCTGCTGTACGTCAGCCCATTGATTGGCACTGGAGGAGCTGGCAAAGCTCCGCGCTCTGGAAGCAAAGGAAGATCTGCGTGACCAAGAGGTCAAAGAGTCGCGAGCCCAGTGCTCATGGATATTCTTCTTTTCGTGGCAGTCGTGGAATTTGCAACGGAAAAGGCTAGGCATCCCAAAAGGTTGCGACTGAAACCTTCACCCCCGGGACGTTGGCCGCATTTCAACTTTACCGAGCTTGAAAATCACGCCCAAGGAACTTCCAGCAACAGTAGTAGATCCATGTAGATCCGTGTGTGCAAGTGCCCGATTTCTGCAGTATTTCTGCGCGCATTTCTGTCTGCATTTCTGTGCGTCTTTGTGCTCGTACGGGTTAATACCTCAAATCATCGCAGCTGCTTACAGCCTCACGAAGCTACTGTAGTTGATGGGTTCGAACCGGTTTGTGTCTGGTGCTTTTGTCAATTCAGCCCGCGAGCTGCGTTGTCACGAGCTTTGCAAGAGTGAATCCACTGTGAGGCAGCACAGCGTTACGGCCTTACGTGTGTTGGCAACAGCAGCAGCCGCAGCCACAACATAGGTTTGCACCGACAGCACAACAACACTTCCAGGCAAAGCAAACAGCATGATTCCGCCCAAAAAATTTCATGGCTGTGCAGAAAATCCCTGAAACGAACGATGTCATAACAGACAGCCTCCGACATCAGAAGGTGACCACAGTGAATCATCCGTCCTTACAAGCTTCGACGGGTAGTTTCATCGCACATGCCGACAAAGCCATGCCATTAATGCGCGTTTCCAGTGTGGTCGCTTAGAGACTTAGGTGCTATCGTGGAGCTTGCGTATGTTGTATTATGTTGTTAGCACTGAGACCCTGAGCTTGTTCAGGTTCAAAGAAGAACTCAAGACACTGGAGGAACAGCAGCGGCCATTTCGGTGACGTTGCTGTCGGGTGTGCAGCGTTGGCGTTGATCAGGAGCTCGTTTCACTTAGCATTCCATGTTAATGAATGCATGCAACACACGACGAACTCTTTCCCCAAGCCCACCCTTATCCTGGACTCCTCCACCCAGTAGACGTTTCACTCGATCTGCGGACATTGCGCAGAGACTTAGCCATGCATGTTCCAAGATCAGAAATGACTCGCTTCAGGTTTGGGGCTTTGCACCATCACGCATCATGCATCGCACGCGGGAGCAGGGGCTCGAGAGAGATGGTGTGTGAGAGAGAGTGCCCCTTTTGGCGGTCCCTTCGGGGATCACATGCGCTGGAAGGAAGGAAGGACGGAAGGAAGGACGGAAGGCAGGACGGAAGGGACGGAAGGAAGGACGGAAGGAAGAGAAAGAGAGGGACAAGTTGAAGACCTTGGAAACACCAATCTCCCCCTTCCGAGTGCATCCCTCAAGGGGTCCTTTTAGGTGATGGTCGTAGGCTTGTGTTGAAGTATATCGCCCACCCATGCTGCCGTCCTGTAGCTGGCGAAACTTTCTCTTCAACTTCGCCTTCGTCCCACCTCCTCCTCGCGGGTCACGGGTGTTGTTCGTCGAGCTGGGGGTTGTCGATTGTTGGAAGAGGGGGACCTCAAATGGGAACACTCGCCCTCCCCTTGCTGCTGCCAAATCGTAGCAGGGGGGAGCTAAATATCACAGGCCTTGTCATACGGGACAACGGTCCATACACTCCCTGCAAGTTTTTGCCGTTCTCCCAGCCCAATGTCGGCTTCGTTTGCATGTCAAATACGTGGTCTGTGTGCTGTTGATACCACTTGTTTGTTCTTGAAGCCCACGACGTGCACACACCTTTTCACACATTTCAGCAGAGTCTGTAGCACGTGCCCCTTGCTTGGGGCGGTCCCTTCGGGGATCATATGCGCAGGAAGGAAGGAAGAGGAGAGAGGGAGAGAGACAGAGAGAGAGATGTCTGAATGCAACCCCCCACCGGTGTGTTTCTTCGCCACCACAAGTGGGGCGAGCGGACTGCGCAGGGGGCTTGCCCCTTAGGTTGAGTTGCTGCAGACCAGATGCAAAAAGGAAGGAAGGAAGGAAGGAAGGAAAGAGAGAGAGAGAGAGAGAGAGCGAGAGCCATTTTGACTCAAATCCGGAACCGGGCCCCGATCCTCGCTTAAATGAGATGACAGATGAGAAAGAAACGACAAGTACAATGAGAGCAGAGGCTGGGGCAAAGAGGCAATCATTGGGGGTCTTTCGCGGACTCCAAGCTTGTTTGTACTGAATCGTGATAGTTTTTGCTGTGGTGCTGGGAGTTTACTTCCAAAGCCAACATGCCCCACTCGAATCAATCAGAAAGGGGTGCCTACTTTGCTCCGCGCTCCCAAGGAGTCTGATCCGAATTCACGGAGTCTCACACTTGAGGGAGGTGTTTCCAGAGAAGGGTTCTCTCAAGTCGATTCCATGCATCCTAACCGTTCTTGCCTCCAAGCCGTTGCGAGGAGGCAGGCGGAGGGGCTCCAACAATTACACAAACTCAAGCTGAATCGAGGACACGGGGCAGGGGGGCAGGAGGGCAGGAGTGCGCTCCTTCCCCAAAGACTTTTGAAAGGAAGGAGGAGGAGAAGACTACAATACTGTTGGGTGCCAATTCTTGTGGAAATGTCGTTTGAACAACTGCCGAGGTGCCATGCCAGGAGGCGAGGCTTCCGAGTTCTTGGAAGTCAGCTTGTGCTTGCCTCAACTTCGGGGCGTTTCTTCTGACTGTTCTTGTTTGCTTCCATTCATGCTATAGCTGATAGCTCTGGCCGTATCTTTGCAAGGCACAGCCTGCCATGTTTAATCAGGACTTCACGTTTTCCCAACACATTCTGTGGCAGCAGACAACATCGTCCAGCACAATTCGCACATTAGCGCTGCAGATCCAGATCGCACTGTAGCGCAGAGCGAGAAACATCTGCGCGTTTGCTTCCGGCAAACAAGTGCGGCCGTGCGGCGAATGGGCCTATAACGCCTGGTCAAACGCCAGGCACGACAACTATAGCCTCTTAACCTGCGAGAATATCACGCACTTGGAGTGCAGGAGGCGTTCTTTCATGGGGCGCCGCCGCAGCAACAGCCGCAATTGCAGCAACGTGCCCTGGATATTTGGACACTCTTACGCGATGTGCCCTTGCACTCTACTTCTGTTTCACTGCAATCACGATTGCCCGTTACCAAAGCATGCCGCAGCTGTCATCTCTCTTGCAGGAGCGCGGCCGAGATGGCCGGCAAAGGGATCGGAAGCGTCTCGATGTCAGGGACTCTCGGGACTCTAGGTCTCGAGATCGTGACAGACGGCCGGCTGCTGACAGAAGTGACTCGCGAGAAAGGATAAATGGAGGCAGGAACAACGGCAGGAGGCAAAACGACAGTGCTGGGCCGAGAAAAAGCAAAGGACCTTCCTGCAGTTCTTGACATCGTGACCAGACGTTACCAGAGCTGCTTCACTGCGAGGTGTACCCATGTGTACCCTGAAGGACAACACGATGAGGACGACGTGGCTGCACAACAAAACGGCGCAGCAACTCCTCGCCATCACCAGTAGCATTTGTCTTGGGTCTTGCAGTTAGCCATGCAATAGGGTTAAGTGGCCGTCCGTGGCATTGGATAACAGGCCCCGTGCCTTGAAACTGGTAGTGGTGTTTTTTTTTTTTTACTTCGTTTTTTTTTTTTTTTTTTTTTTTTTTGGGGGGGGGGGGGGGGTTGGCTTTTTAACTAGTCAGACTACTGGCAGACCTTGCTTTTCTCGGTTTTGCCGTTGTAACCGTTCTAAGCCTGCTATAGTTGCCATTGGCGTGCCGGCGTAAATCTCAGGACGGAGCCGGCATCAAGCCGATTTGGACTTGCAAGCATTGTCGGACATCGATGTTTGGACATCTTTTGCAGTGCACCCGGTGCCAGAAGACCAAGCCCGAGGAGGACCAGCGCTTCGTTCAGGTTTGGAATATTCCACCAGACGTTGTCAAGAAGCCACTGCAGTGGTGCGCCACCCTGATTTCAGCATGTTTCAACGTACAAGGCTTGCCGCAGCTTCATATTCTTGTCTGACAAAAAGCTGGTTAGACCGTTCGCCACCTGTACTGTAGCGCAATTCAAGGTTCGTGAAGAAGGCTGGCGGAGCAACGGCAGACATGGCTCCAATTGGGGCACAGTTGGTCATGGTTAAGTCCACCACGGCCGGCGCGGACTCTCGGATTCCGATGTGCGTGCTTTGATGTGTTCTGTTCTCTTCTCTGTGTTCTTCTTTGTGTTCTAGTGTCATGCATGGCCGTGAACAAGCAACCTGGGCTGGTCTTTGCTTAGAGCAGGCGTGCATGAGCGTTGTAGCATCGGCCAGGTGTCAGGTGTCTCATGGGCTCCCGACTGGATAGACTTGCCGAGACAGTTGTTGGATCAACAAGAGCTGAGGGGAGAGTTGTATGCCCTTGGCCTGTGAGTAAATGTTTGACAGTTGAATCTTGAAGCTTGTCAAAGCATCTTTTTGTGGGGCCCTCGTAATAACACTGCCGGCCCTGGCCTTCGACCCACTGCTGCTTGATTCAAGGATGTGCAGACGGCGGTTCTGGAAGCAAAGGCAATACCACAGGCTGACTATGCTTTGAGATCTTTGAGGGCACCAAAAGAAGGATTCACTGCAAGCATCTCTTTCTTCGAGCGTTCTCCAGGCTGAAGCCTTGGTCGCTGCCATCGAGAAGTGGAAAGTCGGAATTCCAAAGATGAAGGCCCCGTTCCGGCAGAGGTACAAGTAATTACAAGTAGCACTCAAGTAGCTCAGTAGCCGTTTGAGGGATGGTGTGCACGGAGAGATACGGAGAGGGCGCGCTCCGCCTTATGGAAAGGCCAAGGTCATCTCCGAGTCCGACTTCGAGAGCTTGCTCGAAAAGAGTACTACGTGCCTAGTTTTCGTCAAAAACGTGCCAGAGGACAAAATGTGGCATGGGCCATTTCATGATTTTTGGCATGTGTCTGTGTCGCAGTGGCCATGACGATTAGTTCGACCTGCCGCGTGGCCATGACGGTCTGTTCGACCACTGTGCCGACAGGACATCGAGGATGAAACCGATATTAAGAATATGGGTAAGGACATTGAGAAAGCCCAGAGACTTGACAACATCAAGCCTGGTTTTCGGGGAGCATGTTTTGAACCAGCGTATAGGGCAGGAGAGTGGTAGCATGTGGTAGCTGTCGCCGATCCCGGAGCCAGGATTGGACACCACCCGCAGCATGGCAGGACGGGATGAGCGAATCCTAAACAATTCTGCGCACGTCTTGTAGAGGTTGTTAAAATCTTTACAGCGTTTCAAGCTTCTGACGGTGACATCGGCCACATTGCCGGTACAGGTATGCCATTATTCAGGCCCGAAGCCACAGCGCCGCTCGATCTTGTGTGGCCCCCTGGACAAGCAGTAAAAGGCATAATGAGCATGGCAAGTATGTTTCAAGCATCACGGGCGGTTCGAGCGGGAGGGAAGTTACATTTCGTTTGCTGTAGCAGAAATGTGTCATATTGTCCCACCGGAAAACACTTCGCTGGGATTGCATGGCGAAGCTTTTCGCATATTGATGCCATCGGCCTGCTGTGGTTTAGAAGTGGTTGGGGCTTTGCCTGAAGGGGCATGACATAGTTAGACAGAAAGTTTTGCTTGGCCGTCAACCTCGCTGGCGCTGGTACTTTCCAGCTCACCAAATCGAGCTGCATAAGCCTACATCATCGTATGTCCTAGATGTTCAAGTAAACTTGAGGCTGCAGCACTTCAACTTGTGCTGATGGGACGACGAAACTGCAAACAACCCCCTCCCCCCTGCTTAGCCTTCCAGTGTGTAAATGCAGTTGCTGGCTGTCTGCCCGCAAGTCTTGCGCCCTCCTGTTGGTCAGCTGGCATAGCTTCCAGGGCTTGCTTGCGAAGGGGTCAATAGTTCAACGTGCTCAACGTGTTCAACTTCGTTTGTCAGACGAGGATGTCTTCAACATTCCTCACAGCGGCGGCACCATGACGGCAGAGCTCACGACTGAATACCAACAAGAGACGCTCGACTCCGCAAGCTTATATGTGTGGTCTTCCAGGCGTGCTCTGTGCTTGCTGCCGCTTGTCGTGGTAAGGATGGTGTTGAAGGGGAGTTCGCAAAATGTGGCCCAGCAGCAAAAATGATGGCATATGGTGGCTGCACCTGGCCTGTGTGAACCAGTCGAATCAAACTCGAAGCAGATAAGGCCTCGAAAAAGCGAAACCAGCGACGTTCGAGAAGTCGTCGGCGGTAGCTGTAGCAGGCCCAGTGCAGGTGTTGCTGCTCTGCCACCCCCATACTTCTGACAGATGGCTGCGGTCAGCAGGCAGATGCAGGAAGACTCGGCTTGCATCGGCTTTCCAACAGTTTCACCATGCAATCCGCGCCTCACCCTATAGCCCATACAGGGCCTCGAGTAATTGCTACTCGTCAAAGGCACATGCTACAGCCTATATGCGATTTGCCAGTTTCGCTTGGCATGTTGTGCAGCGCGGAGGCAGAAAAGAGTGGAGTTGATGGTGGCACAACAGCCATTTGAGCTAATCGTTCATGATCTGATTGGCACGACTAGCAGTGCACACAACTGTTCGGCATGAACAGTGGATATTCTTCAATTTGGAGCGCCGTGCCAGTCGTGTCAATGTGTGAGCTAGGCCGGCACTATGAAGAGATTGTAGCAGATGATTTTGGAAGCAGATTGCTTGGCCGAGGCTGGATGTGGATGCCACGGAAGCCTTGGGGGCGGCCTTGGCTCATGAAGCACGGAAAGGTCAGCTGTGGCAGTGGCTAATCAGCTAATCAATGGCCGAACGCCTTTTTGACTCAAGGGGACATTTTCTTCCTCCGTGGAGAGCTTGGGTCGGGGAAAACTTCGCTCGTGTCGCCCTGAGATATCCACACATGTCATGTATCTACATATGGCCACAAATCTGAAATGGCATGGCACAAACTTTCAGACAAAATTGTGAGATACACAGGACCTTTGCAGGCCCAGTGGTTTGCATGATGCTGAGGCGCGGGGCTTCCTTCGGGCGTTCTTTGCAAAACCAGACCTGGACGTGCCATCGCCGTCGTATTTGCTCCCCAACCGCAAATGTTGCTGCACCTTGGCGCAGCATCATGGAAAACAGAGGGCTCGAAGCCCAAGCCCTGCCAAACATCCCAGGCTGCATTTCACCTACGACGCGTCAGGCTAGCTGAGCTACCACACAATGAGAGATGCTGAAAGCGGTACAGTAGCAACCGCTTGTTTCAGGCCTGGCAGCCTCGCATCCCAGCGTGGCCAGGTTGCATGGGTGGCGCTGCAAGAGCATGCTGAGACAGCAACCAAAGACAGACAACATAACGCTATGCATGTGCCAGTACTGAGGCTGGGAACTCCGAGGCACTTTCGCTGGTCCCTGGCTGCTTCGGTCTCGGCTTTACAGTCATCAAGTCATGGGATATGCCGGCGGCGGCTTGGCCAAGGTGCAGTTCACCATATTGATCCGTACAGACTTCCGGCTGGCAAGATTGCCTCGCTAATTGACTTCGAGGCTGGACTAAGATTCATCGGCCCAGTCTTATCGCTTGGTGCAGTCGTCGCATGCGGAGTCGCATAGGGCAGGTCAGCAGGGCAACCGGAGTCTAGCTGGGGCCTGTGGCCAGCAAAACCGCCTGCTGGTCGTTTTCACCGGGGGAAATCTCTTGGAGCTTGCAGTAGGACTCTTGGTGGGACATAATGTGGCCCTGGCTTATTTCATCCGGAGTTGGTGAGCAAACTCGGTGTAGGGCAGTCTGTTAAGGTTCAGCGAGAGCCCAAGGTTGTTTATTATGAAACAGATCCGGCTCGGCTGAGGGGAAGCCGGCAGGAGGGGTGGGACCCGTCCCGTGACAAGACAAGAACAATTCGAAGATGTTTGAAGCCTTAAGTCGGAGCGTTCGAAGCGAGCGACTTGCTTGGCCTCCTTCCATTGCGCAACATGTGTGTTTGGTATGCAAGCTTCAACATGAATACTCTCGATCTCTTTTGCCATCATGTGCCCTGACGGCCTTACGGGACCTCCACATGCATGTCCTTTCATTTTTGTTGGTTTGTGACCTACGCATCCATTTACCACTCTTGTGCAAGCATCCGTTTCCTCTTCTTTCGCACCAAAACCTGAGTTCAAGTCTGATCTCTTCTTCGGCCCGCGTGCTAATGCCGATTGCTCGTACAGCTCGCCGTTGCCTTTCTGCTAGGTTTTGCTCATTCTTCATCACGTCAGCTTGTGCACAGCGCATCTTTTCCGGTGGTTGCATCAGGCTATTTGGCAAGCAGTTTCTCTGGTCGAGTGGCCCGAGCGCTTGGGGGATCAGCTCGTGTCACAGGCCATGGTCTCTGCATGTTTTCGTCTCAGAACATGGAGCAGCAATGCTTGTCAGGATCACCCACCTCGGCTTGAGGTTGCCTTTCAAGGTTTTGGGCCCCAGGCAGGAAAACGAGAGCAACTCGAGACTTTGGTAGCGGCGTGGTCTTTTTCACATGCTCTGCAGGCTGAGGGGAGGACCGTTCGGCTGAATGCAGTCAAGCACCGAGATACCAGGACTAGCGACAGGATAGATCATGATGGATCCCAAGATTCCCAAACTCAGGTTGGGCCGCGCTGGTGCGAAGCCCTACTCCAAGCCTTTTTCCACTGGCCATAGCCTGGCCATGTTGGCGGTGCGGGAGGTTGTCTGCTTTTCCCCATGTTTGCAGGCCTTGGGGCGATGGCAAGCAGAGGGTGGTCCGTTGCGATCACGGTGTGGTGGCATGATTATCGTTTTTACTTTGTAACCGTGACAAGTAACTCCATGCACTGGCTTGACGAATATTGTCGCCAGGCCGAGTGATCCGCCGAGACCCGACGATCTGGTGGAGTTCGCTTCCCAATCTTCCCACAAGATTCTTGCAATGACGTGTTGCCGCTCCTAACGCTCCGAATTATGTATTGGCTGCTGGCGTCATGCCCTGGGGCGGATGGGGCTGAGCATGCAGGTCAGCCGCAGCTTCTTCGGTAGCCGCAGCCTCTCTGGTAGCCGCACCCTCTGCATAGTTCCAAGCAGGGTCTCGCTGGATCTTGGGCATCACGGCATTACGATGAATGTTTCCCTCTCCTGTGACACTGCACACCACAAACGAAGGGGTTGCGTCCATAATTGAATATTTCACGGGGAGACCAGTCGTGGCATTGGAGTGAGTTTTCAGAGGTTCTGGGTCCAGAAGGCACCGGGGTCAGAATACTCAAGCAGGGTTCCGGCATCGGCTCCACTCAGGGGTCCAGGCTGGATTGCTGGTGTATGCAAAACAACAATCACGGATAGCATTTGTGGAATCGCAAATCCAAAACCTGCCCAAGCCGCCTTTTCGCGAAGCAACTTGGGCTTGGCGAAGAAAGCCAGCTTTTTCTCAGGTGTCAGGGATGTGGCGAGTCGTTGACCGTCAATCCTCGATGATCTCAGCTACCGCCACCGGGTCAATCCGGTAGTCCTGTCCTCTCAATCACATTGAAGTTGGTTTGGCATTTGGCCACCGCAAATCGCTCGCACTTATTTGCCGGCATGCTGTCGTCCAACCGCAACAGCCTAGTGGCTTAGTGCTGCGCCAAAATCTGGATGGGGCATGCTGCATACATGTTTGTCCTTTTCAATTTGCCTGAGGCCCCTCTTCCTTCACCTTCCGCCAGTTCAAGTTCGCGCTCCAGGCATCAATCATTAAAGTCACAGTTGTCACATGTTCGGTTCGTTCAGAAAGCCTCACGGCAGGAACTGCCGCGCGTTGCCAGAAGAAAAGAAAGACTGGCAGCTGCCCTAGAGATGTAGATCGAGATTGTCGCTGAACAGGGCTCAGATTAGGTGGCACTGAGGCTGGTGCTTGGCATTGAGTCCAGCTGTGACGACACCGGCGCCGCTGTTCTTAGGCCTGGTGAGACCGGTCATGCAGCGTGGCAGTTTGCCCCGATTGGGTGTGCAGGGGCGACGGCCAGATCCTGGGAGAAGCTTTGGCATCACAGGTGAGCTAGCAGCTTGAACCACTTCGTTGCAACGAAAATGTGACAATGCGACAATGCGACAACAACGGCGCTGTACTACATATAATTCTTTAAGAATTAGTTCTGTACGTGAGTAGAAGCCACGGAGTCTGTTGGACACGCTCGCCCCCACACCCACACCCACACCTACACCCACACGCACGGACCCACACACCCACACACCCACACACCCACACACCCACACACCCACACACCCACACACCCACACACCCACACACCCACACACCCACACACCCTCACACCCACACACCCACACACCCACACACCCACACCCACACACCCACACACCCACACACCCACGCACCCACGCACCCACGCACCCACGCACCCACG